TGGCTCTTTCACTTTTCCAGTGAATAGTACCAATTTACCAAGTTTCTAGAAAGTGGGCAATGGAGTGTACCCAATGCACAATACAAAACTTTCACCTGTTTAAATATCCATAAAAAGGAGTTACTATTTTGGCACCATTAAATGTAATCATTAACTTAATGGAGCCTCCCATTTTAAGAATGATATACTTTTTAAAAAAATATTTTATTTGTTTATTTTTAGACAGAGGGGAAGGGAGAAAGAGGGAGAGAAACATCGATGTGTGGTTGCCCCTCATGCGCCCCCTACTGGGAACCTGGCCCACAACCCAGGCATGTGCCCTGACTGGGAATCGAACCTGGGACCCCTTGGTTCAGCGACTGGCACTCAATCCACTGAGCCACAGGGCAAGAATGATACACTTTGTATCTACTTAAAACAATAAGCACGCAGGGTGTGTGGAATGAAACGCAGAGCACTTTGTCTCCTCCATGTGCGTAGTTTCGATGAACTGAACTTTCTGTTACAACGGTCGTTCGACAGTGGCAGCCCACTGTCTGACCCTGCTAGCCCCCAGAATTCCTTTGATCTTTTCCACTCGCAAATGCAGTGACCCTCCCCTCCGGGCATCGCTGAGGATGCCGAACGTTGGACACCGGAAAGGTCAGGTCTGGCCTTCTCCCTGCAGCAGCTGCCGCGACCTGGCGGCCCAGCCGCCTGCGCGGTGAGCTCGTTTAGTGTCATAGGGCGTTCTGCGGCCTGGCGACAGCAGCGTGGGCCGAGTGGGGCTGCCGGTTCCCTAGGAGGCCCCGTGGACTGAAAACGTGGCTTTCATGTCACCGACCTCCGTGCCCAGTTGTCACTGGGGGACCAGACTGAGCTGCGAGGGTCTCCCCTGAAGCAGTCCCTGTGACCCCTAACGATTCCGACATTCCCCAGAGCAGGACAGCAGGACGGTGCACTCCTCATCTGAGTCATCCTTCAAGCAGATTTGAGGTTTAAAATTCAAGTCACATTTACGGAAACTTATGGCAAGTTTTTGGCACTTGCCAGTGGGTGCGTTTCCTGCCGTGTAATTAATTCCCGTCCTCGATTCCGCTCTTGCTCGGGGTAGGAGGGGATGCTCAGGGAGGGGGCGCCGAGGGAGGGGGCACAGGCGGGCGGGGAGCCAAGAGGAGGCTCACCTGAGAGGGACGCTCCCAGCGTCGACTACAGCACCTTCCGGGCTTTCTCCGGCTGCTGTAAGACGTGCTGTCAGAGTCTGAAACCAAAACTGGATCCACTTACCCAACTGCAAAAGCTGTGACACCAGTCAGTCCTGTGTGAGGCAGGACATGTTTTGTGGAGTAAGGTCAGGAGGGCGAGGAGTGGCTGGAGGACAGCAGAGAAAGTCAAGTGCACCCGAGACCAGGCGAGGGAACCTGCTCTCGCAGGGTCCAGGCTCCAGGGAGCTCCTCGAGGAAGCATCGGGGTGGGGGGCAGGACTGTCTCTGAGTGGCTAGTGCTGTGGCCCGGACTGCGACACCTCCCTGGACTGTGCGTCCCTTGCTTTTCTTGCTCCGATGCTACACTGTAACTTGCATAGAGTCACGATGTGACTCTCACGTATCGGCTGGGCCACAGGCTCCGAGAGGCCACTCGGCCTGTGGTCCTGTACCCTCCGGGGGAGGCCTCTCCCCTCACCCTCTCCCTGGTCCTCCAGGCAAAGCTCCGTGGGAAAGAGCAGCCACTCTGGCTCCCGGGGCTGCACCCCGATGGGCCGGGCCCAGGGCCCAGGGAGAGCAGCCCCTCGCTCTTGGGAGGGACCCCCCCGCCCCCGCCCCCGCCCCCGCCCTGCACTGCGTTCTCGAATCGCACTCCGCCCCCCCCCCAGGCCAGGAGCCTGCAGTGAGGAGCGCTTTCTCCGACTTCAACACGAGGGGGGGCCGGGGGCGGAAGGAGCCTGAGGGTGCCCACGGCCCTTCCTGCCGGTGTGGCTGGCGTCAGCCGCCGTGGGGGCTTCTCCGTCCCCTTGGCCGGCGGCCACAGCTGCCCATTTTCACGACGGGAGCCCCAGCTTTGAACCCCCGAGAGGCCGCGGCCGGTCCACCCTCCCAGCGGTCTTGGTCTTGCAGCCGGTCCCGCGTCGGGCCGGACCTGCTAGAGGTCTTCCCCGTGCAGCCTGAGTCACTCGGGGAGAAAAGGACACTCGGAACTGAATCCAGTTAAAGTGGGAAGGCATTCGGGGAAAGGTTTCGATCAGAAGTCTTTCTTGAAAGATGGAACCGCAGCGTACGAAAGTACGCCCGTTGTAGACTTGGTAAAGTCTGGGTTGTCGTGAGCGCTCAGCGCTCATTTTGGGGCGGACGCTCAGCCGACAAACCCGTGCCGTCCTCAGTGTCCTCCCCGCACGTCTGGCTCTTGCCGCGGGCCCAGAGCGTGTCCCCCGCCCCCCACCCCCCAGACAGTGTTTCCGAGTCAATGCTCAGAGACTCGGTCCGTTTCTCCCAGGGCTTCTCCGGACCCGGAGGGTGAGTGTTGGAACAGAATTCTCCTGTCAGGTCTCTGCTGTCTCCCGACCCTTCCCTTGGGGGTGGTCTGGAACGGGGCCGCGCCCGCCCCTCACGGCCGTGGCTGGGTGGAACGCCGGAACGGTGCTCCGATGCTGCCCCTTCTGCCGACTTCCAGCAACCCCGCGTCCGGAGTGACAGTCCCCGCGCCCGCATGTCCGCAGGCGATCTGCCCTCGTGTGCAGACTGCTCGGGAGCGGGGACGTGGGTCTGAAGAGACGCCGCCCTCCACGCAGATGCGCGGTGGTGGGCCGCCTGCCGAGTCTCCAGGCGGCCCGGGCAACAGAGGCTCGTGCGGCGACTTCCCTGCGTTCGTGGCCGATTCCTGAGTGATTGTTCTGATGTTATCCTCGCGCGTGTGAGCACAGGGACTCGGGGGATCGGTAACGCGGTCGTGAGAAACCCGGAGCCCCCCCTCGGTGCGGTAGGCGCGCCCCTGCGGTCTGTGCCCAGCCACGGGTATTGGAGAGACCTTAAAAGGCTTCTTTCATAACTGTATCCATCCGTTACAACCCTGAGGCGTCTTGCGGTACCTGTCACCTTCTTTGCCATTCCATCCCAGACTGGGAGCACTTGAGACTAATATATATTCACTCACCAAATACTTCACTTTGCTCAGAATAAAAATAAGCAATGGGACGTCCCAGCAACGGAAGACTCAGCAGAGACTCGGGGGTCAGGAAGCCGCGTGCCCCCTTTATCCGTGCCCTCCTCTTCCCGCCCACTGATGGGGGGGTGGGGGCCGTTGGCATCGGCCCACCCGGCCGTCCTTCAGGGCCGGCCTCGCATCCCCCGGGTAGAGGCGCCGTGTCCCGTGGGTAGACGCGCCCTGGTGTGGGTTACATGGCCGGCCCCCCGCGGGTGGGGCGAGGCTGCCGGCTGACTTCGCTCCGGCGGGCCGTGCCACCCACAGCAACCCCCCCGGGTCCCCCTTTGCCTCGTGTGAGAGGCCCCTGGGACGGAGGGCGGACGCATCCTACAGTCTGTTAGGTGTCGCCCGTCTGCCCACCGGAGGGGGTGACGCCAGCGTTCCCTGCAGCCGAGCAGATCGGGGAGGGGCTGCGTCTCCGCGCTCCCCAAACAGAGCACGGCCGAACGTTTTCTGTCCTGCTGTTTAGACACGTGCCCACGGCGTGGAGACGGCGTCGCTCTCACTGAAGGGAAGTTCTTGTATAAGTGTCCGCAGTGGGAGCAAGTGTTTTTCTTCTGGAGGCGAACTTCGGTTTGGGAAAGAGTCAGGCCTCAGGCATGATGGCGTAGACTTTAGGTTAGCTGCTAATGCTAGTTTCTTCTTGAAGTTTGCTTTATTTGTTCGTTTTGAGAGGAAGGCTTAGGGAAAAACAAGTCTAACTTTTAGATAAAACTAATATTCTTTTTTAAAAAATATTTATTTATTTATTTTTAGAGAGGGAAGGGAGGGAGAAAGAGAGAGAGAAACATCAATGTGCGGTTGCTGGGGGCCATGGCCTGCAACCCTGGCATGTACCCTGGCTGGGAATTGAACCTGCGACACTTTGGTTTGCAGCCTGTGCTCAATCCACTGAGCTATGCCAGCCGGGGCAGATAAAACTAATATTCGTAAGGGACTTTTAAATTTTCTTAGAAGTTAGTCTCAGAAGAAGGGTTTTAAACATGTCTGAGGTCATGGCGCTGGCCAGTCCGGTAAGATTGCAGCCTTCCGGGCCACCGTGCGACCTGACCGGTGCTCGGCCGTATGAGATCTGGCATGCTTGTTCATAAACAGCAAGGTCACTGCAAAGCCTCCAGCTCCTGCAGGGTTCTCCCACAGGGCAGGGCACTCAAAACAGACCATTTGAATTGGGGGGACGGAACCTTTAAAATGCCGTATTGCCTACTGTAAGATTTCCGTCCCTCACACCAGACGAGCTCATTTTTACCGCTACCAGCCAGGGATCACCAGAGCCTTCCGTTCACAGAGGTCTCCAGCCTTTCCACACGCCAGATTGCACCGTCCATCTTCTCTGCGTCCTCTCCGGGTCTGCGTGGGGCGACAGAGGGGCAGCTATGTGAAATCAAGGGTGTGAGCGAGCCAGATCTAGTTACACACGTGTTTTCTTCGGCGTCCGTGCATTTATTTAGCTTCCGAACAAGCTTCGTTGCAGACGACAGCCTCGTCTCCCTGCCTGTGTTTTCCTGAGACTCGTCCCGGGCCGTGCCCTGCGCCGTAGTGCAAACAGACTCGGGGAGGAGCAGGCGTGGCGCTGCCCATGGTGTGGGGGTCAGACATCCCCCAGCCTGCTCCCTGAGAACCCCCGCCGCCGGACCAGTCGTCCGCCGTCGCCACTGTCCAGGTCCCCAACGTCCTAAATGAGCCGCCTTGTCTCTGTTCCCGGTGGCCCATCGGGTGACGACCCCGTGCGGCCAAGAGCTGTCCGGGGGCTGGCCGGGGGCTGGCCACGAGGAGCCCCCGGCCCCGGCCCCAGGTAACCCGCCGCCCCCTGTGTTCCACAGAGAGATGGTCAACGCCTGGTTCGCGGAGCGCGTGCACACCATCCCTGCCTGCAAGGAGGACGCCCGAGGCCGCTCTGAGTCCTGCCCGTGCCCCACGCAGCCCTCGGGCGCCCGCCCGGACGGCAGCGCCCCGGCCGCACCGGCCAGGAAAATCTCCGCCTCCGAGTTCGACCGGCCCCTGCGGCCCATCGTGGTCAAGGACTCCGAGGGGACTGTGCGCTTCCTCCCGGACTCGGACCAGAAGGAGCAGATGCCGCTGACCGCCCCGCGGCTCGACAAGGACGACGACGGGGACCAGTGCTCGAGGCTCCTGGAGCTGGTGAAGGACATCTCCAGCCACCTGGATGTCACCGCCCTGTGCCACAAGATCTTCCTGCACATCCACCAGCTCATCTCCGCCGACCGCTACTCCCTGTTCCTGGTCTGCGAGGACAGCTCCAACGACAAGTTCCTGGTCAGCCGCCTCTTCGACGTGGCCGAAGGCTCCACCCTGGAGCAGGCGTCCAGCAGCTGCATCCGCCTGCAGTGGAACACGGGCATCGTGGGCCACGTGGCGGCGCGCGGGGAGCCCCTGAACATCAAGGACGCCTATGAGGTGAGGGCGCACGGGGCACGCAGGGCGCGCAGGGTGGGGGCCTGGGAAACCCAGGTGGCACTGTCTGCAGCCGTATTCAGAGGTAGAGTCCACAGTAGTAACTCTTCCATCTCTTAGACGCCAGTCTCCTGACTGGTGGCTGTGGCCAGGACATGGCCCTGGGCGGGGCCTCAGCCCACCCCACCCCACCCCCCGCCGTGAGATTGCGTCATCGTCCCTCTCTCAGCCCAGTGCCCATCTTCCCACTGGGTCTTCCTGCACGCCCCTGTCTCTGTGATCTCTGCTCGAACTTCTGAAGTTTCCACGGAGATTCCAGAACAGGTGCCAAACCATCCAAAAACAAAAAACCCTGTTAACTTATTTATTCATCTACCCACCCACCCATCCACCCACCCATCCATCCACCATCCACCCACCACCCATCCACCCATCCACCCACCACCCATCCACCCACCACCCATCCACCCATCCACCCACCACCCATCCACCCATCCATCCATCCATCCACCCACCCATCCACCATCCACCATGCACCCATCCATCCACCATCCATCCATCCAAAATCATACTCGCTCACTCCAAGTCTCCCTGACACCAAGAACGGATTCTCTTCCTTTCTATTCTTTCTTTCACTTTTATTAAGCAAATAAAGTCATGGGGGTCTTTAAAAACTGGAAATCTTTAAACTATTTTAATGGAAAGATTTCCCATTTCTCCCACTTCTGCTCCAGTTGTATACGGATCTTTAATTACAGACTTATAGTTTACACTATATGAGGTTTCAAATTTCATGCTTAAAGTGATCCTTCTCATTAACAAAACCGCGGGGCTCGCACCAAGCCCCTGAGTTGAGTGACGCGTCATCTGTGGGTGACGCGAAGGCCAGCTGTTGCCGCTCCCACCCTCCAGCGCGGAGGGCTGCTCTGAGAAGCGCCCACGGGCCCCCCCCACCTGCAGCTCCTGGGTGGGATCCCGGGTGGCAGGTCTCATTCAGCCCGGGACCCCCAGTGCCTGATACGGCGCCTGGTGCCCAGTCATCTCTGTAGACGCCGACTCAGCAAAGCCACAGCAGGTCAGGGGGACAAGCAGATGGGAAAGCAGCCCCTGACGGGAGTTCAGCGGACGTGGGACGGAGGGCGGAGATCGGGGGAGCGATGCGGGGGGTGGGCCCCGGAGGGCAGACAGGGCGTGAGTGGGTGGGGGGAGTCGTGAGCGTGGTGGGACCCGCACAGGCAGAGGCAGTTAGAGCAGGGCGGGGACCGGGGTCCGGGGTGCACGTCTGGAAACGGGGGGGGGGTCATAGTCCAGACACCGAGGATCTGGAGGGGCAGGGCCTGGACACGGGGGGAGGGGACTCGAGTGCCTGGCTGAGGCGCGTGGCCGGGCCCAGGCCCCGGGGAGCGTTACGGCAGGTTCAAAGGGGGCCGGCAGGGAGGCCGCGCTTGAGAAGGACGGGTTTTATGGCGGCTGTAAAGTGAGGCTGAGGGGAAAGTACTGGGGCGTGGGAGAGGGGAGGATTTTAGCAGTCCGAGGAAGCGAGGCCTCCGAGGCGGGGCACCGAGGGGGCTGCCTTTCCGGCGCGGAGAGGGGTCTGCTGGCCTCGGCGGCAGGGAGGGGCTGGGCCCGGGAGAGAGGAGTCCCGGGGACTCGGGTGTCGGAGGCGGGCGAACACTAGCCAGCGGGAAATACCGAGGGCAGGAGTCCGGGGAGAGGTGTGGCAGGTCAGGCCGGCTACACCCTGGAGTGTTTTTCCGAATCCATCCTGTGCACGGGATCCAGCCCCCTTCGACCTGTTGTAACACCCCACCGCGGCTGACCCCAGCAGGGCGCTCCAGGCACAGCTGGAGGACTCCCTTCTGTGACAGGTGACAGGTGACAGGTGTCAGGTGACAGCTGGGTTTCCCCTCTTCAGTGGCAGCGGGGGCCCGGGCGTCTCCTGCCTGGAGGGTCTCCTCACTGACCTGCGTTTCGCTGAGTCTGCTCACCCTCCTCGAACGCGGACGACGCAGTTTTTGTTTCCGGTTGGCGATGATCTGATGCCCGCACGGCCGTCTGGAAGGGCCCGCGCCCCCCACCCGTCCTCGGTCAGGGAGACGGCTCTCCGCCCTGGGTTCCTGCATTACCACCCGACCCTCGGGGTCCTGGCCTGGGTGTGGGGTGGCCCCGCAGAAGGGACTGTGTCCCCGGAACTCCGCTGCAGGTGGTGGGGCTGACCGTTGACGTGTAGTTGAGGTTGTTGGTGCAACCCTGGGAGTCAGCCCCACCGATGCAGTGACTCACCCAGGGGCTGCCCGGAGCCCTCTGGGACAGGAGTCAGCGCGTGAGAACGCATTCGAGTGTTCCCCGGGCCCCGAAACCCGCCCCTGTGCCAGCAGCACTGTGCCGCCGCGGGGTCTCTCGGGCGCGTGCGACTGCGGGACACTGTGAAGGAGGTGGCGTCACCCTGGGAAACCTGGAGGCGGCCGTGACGTGTGAGCATGCTCAGGGGGAAGCTCAGAATAAAAAAAAAAAATGGTCTCACGGATCAAGGAGTGGTGAGAAAAATCTACATTTCACGCACTATTTGAAACGTTGTAACAGAACAACGTCAATTGGAGGATTCCGCTACTTAATTGCTAACGAAAGGAGCGCACTCACACACTCAGGACGTGAGACGGGACCCACAGCTGGGACCAGCAGGCCCCGGTCGGACCTCAGGGGCCCGTGAGAGGCCGGGGGCTGGCGCTGCCCCCCTGTCAACGGCCGGACACTCGTCGCCTTCTGCGTCACCCCGCCAGCGTTCGCGCAGCTTTCTGGACCGCAGCCCCGGAGCTGTTGGCGATAAGACGTTAACACGGAGTAATCAAAGCTGCAGTGGGGATCTGTCGGGCGCTTCTCTCGCCTGTGAAAACTAGACGTCCCCCAGTGTCTGGGTTGGACCGGGAGCTAGTGGGGGCTCTTCAGAGAAACGGAGCCCACGGCGGAGGGGGCCCATGCGCCACCCCCCCCCCCCGCCTGTCTGCCGGAGCAGGCCCCAGCAGGCTGGACGGCCCACCGCGGCGCGACGATCTGCACCCCGCCCGCTGAGGCCAACGCTGGCCCTTCTGGGGACCCCCGGAAATGACGTTGTGCCGGCTGCCCGGGCGTCCCTGAGCCCAGCCAGGTGGGCAGGGGGAGTCGGCCGGCTCAGACGGCCCGAGCCCCAGCCCCGCACCCCGTGGCCGCCCAGGCCGCCCTAGGACCCGCCCCCGTGTCCGCGGATTCACGGTGTGGAGCGCCCCTCCTCTCCAAGGTCCACTGTGACGCCGGCCCCAGCCTCTTCTCCCGCCTCCACAGGGCGGCCACGCCCCGTGCGCCCCGACTTCAGGGCACGCCTGGGGGTCTGAGGGAGGGGTCCTCACCGTGCAGCTGCCCTTCCCCCCACCCCACTCCCTTTCCCCCTTTTCCCGCTTCCTCCGGAAGGCTGGTGGCTGTCTCCCCCGCAGGTCTCACTTTCTGCGTTATTGGGACTCACGGGTTCTCTCAAACGAGTTTCTGCTGCTCACAGTTACTTCCAAAACGGGTTCTGGAAGGACGAAATAACCCCGCCACCGTTTTGTTGTTGAGGAACCCAGCCGTCTGCCACCGCCCAGCACGGCCCAGGGAGCACGGCTGGGGAAGCGCGGGGTCGGCCTCGTGGCGGGGGTGGGGGGGCTCATCACCGTTGCCTTACTGGCCTCTTTGCGGAAGAAAACCTTTGACGCGTCTGTCGTGCTATTTATTTCCTTTCGGGTTTTCCGTTCTTTTCAGTCTCACTCCAGCTCGCAGAGAAGTCGCGAGGCCCGTGGGAGAAGCTTCCACGTGCCCACTCCCCGGTTACGTGGCGCCGTGTTTCCTCCACCCTTGTTCTTCCTCCCCCTGTCTGTAATGCACGCAAGTCACGGGTGCGGGCCACTCCTTCTGAACCACTTAGTAAGTCGGACACATGGCCACTGAACATTCCAGTGCGTTTCGGTAGATCTTTCAGCAAGAACATTCCCTTCCACCACTGCGATGCATCAGAATCAGGACGTTTCACGGTGCAGCGCCGTCACCTAAGAGGTTACAGTCGTGTCGCTGAGCTGTCCCGCTGGAGCCACGCTTCCCCTCTGACCACGGGCCTCGTCCGGGACCGCAGCTGCACGCCCGTGTCCGGCCGCCTTGGTCTCCCCCACGCCCGGCGCCATCTCTCCCTGTGTCTCCGTCCTCCTTGACACGCATTCGAGAAGAGCACCGGGCAGCCCTTCTGCGGAACGTCCCTCCAGAACAGACGCGGCCCGGGGCGCGGGCCTCGCTGCTGGGGACCCAGCTTCCCCCCGCAGGGCGTGTGAGGTGCGCACCGCCCCCGCCGGGCTGCGCAGAGTGACGCCCAGGCTGCGGCCGGCTCCAATTCCCCGCCCGCCCCGGCCGGACCCGAGAGAGGGCTGCTCGTCTCCGAACGCCCGCCTGCCCGCCCCTGTTGGGCTTTAGCTGGGCACCGGGGCCCAGTCCTCTTCTCCGTGAACCGGCCTTGGGATCAGAGTATTCCTTAGCCGCGTAGCCGCTGACGACGCGGTCCTCTCCGTGTCTGGACGTCAGGCTGTGGAGTGATTCTCCGTGACGCGATCGCTTCCTTCTTCATACGCCTCCGCGTGGCCGTGTCGGGTGTCACCTGAGGACTGTTTCCTGGAAATACCCAGCCACACGTCCCCCCCCCCCCGTGTCCCCGCAGGACTGGGCGCACACCGGCGGGCGAAGCGACGACGCAGCGGCGTCCACGTGGACCACGACACGCTCGTGCCGGTCCCCCCCGCGGTCATGGCCACTTTCCTTTCGAAGTCGCCTTTAGTGCCCTGTCTGGCCCCCGAGGGGAGGACTGGCCTCGTTTCTGACCCCGATCGAGTGCCTCTGAGTAACCGTTTCCTCCGTGCGCAGCTTGGGCTTTGCGTGACTTCCGGCTAATTAAAGAAAAAAAATAGACGTGACCTTCAGAGACGAGGATTTTCCGGCGTGGCTGTTCCACGCTCTCTGAAGGGAGTTCCGAGAGCAGGCTCCTGAGGGCAGAGGGCTATTATTAGGCTGAGCCCGTGGCTTCCCAGGGCTGCTGCGGCCCCCAACGCCCATCCCAGCGTCTCTGTGCTGGCGCGTGGTTTCCATGGTAGTCGTGCCCCCCCCCGGGGGTGCCAAGCCGCCTGCAACTTCCTCCCGCAGGCCCCCCGCCCGCCGACCAGATCGGCTTTGAACGATAATAGGCCGAAGATGACCACACTTGATAATGTCGACGCCTGTTACTCATGCACCCCTTCCTTAATGTCGCAAACGCTTGGGATTCCTGTGCGCCTCCCAGGAGTACACCGCCGGGCCACAAGCAGCCCGGCCTGGAGCCCACGGCCCACCTCCTCCCCGCCCCCGGGTCCGCAGGGCGAGGGGGCGGCCCTCTCTCCGTGCCCACCTCCCGGGCCGTGCGCCCTCCAGCCCTTCCTGGCCACTGGGTGTGCATGGCGTGCCCCCTTAGAGGGGCCGGGCCTCCGGGGGGGCGAAGGGACTGTTTGTGGTCTGAGTGCGGCCACAGAGGGTCTTTCCAGGCGTTACAACAGGGGGCGATGGCAAGGTTTAAATTCCTGTGACCCCTGGGACAGAGGAAACGGGGACCAGTGCTCCCAAGGGGGGGGGGCAGGCACTGGAGAGGAGGCAGCGGCGGGTTTGGTGGGGAGTGTCAGAGCAGGGACAGCGCCGGGGGGGGGGCAAGCGGGGGGCGCAGGAGGGTGGGCCGAGAGCTGAAACTGGACTGCACGGGGGGCGGGGGTGGGGGGGCTCATGGCCTCGAGTCCCTGATTTTTTTTAAATGCCTGCCAGAATTTTATTTCTTTAACACGGCTTTTTTTCCCACAGTTTAATTTTTTTATTTTTATTTATTTTTAAATCTATTTTATTGATTATGCTATTACAGTTGTCCCATTTTCCCACTTCACTCCCCTCCACCCTGCCCACCCCCTCCCACCCACATCCCCCCCTTTAGTGCATGTCCCTGTGTCATAAGTCCTTTAGCTTCTACATTTCCCGTACTAGTCCTGCCCTCCCCCGTCTATTTTCTCCCTACCGTCCATGCTACTTATTCTCTGTACCTTTCCCCCCTCTCTCCTCCTCCCCCTCCCCTGTGGCTATCCCTCCATGTGTCCCTGATTTTAAGTGAGGCTGTCAAAATCGACTCCTGTTTTGAGTTCCCTTAATTTCTGAACATTTTGGTTGAGTCTTTATTTCTCGACTTCTCGTAAACATCAGCTTCTCAGAAAAACTTAAATTTGTCTTGGTGAAAAATGTTCTGGACTTACGTGGTCTGCTGCCTTTTACAGCAATAGCATTGCCGTTCAGGGCAAAAAGGTAAGTCGAAGGGTAGGTTTCTCTAATCTTATAAGTCGGAAAAATCAAATCAGTCTTTGAACAGGTCAGCCACTAAATTGAATTTCTCTTTCCTTGCGAGGACCCTCGATTCAATGCAGAAGTGGACCGCATTACCGGCTACAGGACACAGAGTGTCCTCTGCATGCCAATTAAGAACCACAGGGAAGAGGTAAGCCAATTTTCCGTTTCGTGAAAGGTCATTTGAAAGCATTTTTCTTTTTGAAAAAAAAAAAAAAACTTGCATACTTACGAATAAGTCCAGAGTGACGAGTTAACTCTACAGTGCTTACATGTCCTGCTTGTTGTTTCCGACGTAGACTTCAGTGTTAGGGTTGAATCCTCATGGAGACTGTGCTGGGACTTAGAAACAGACTTCAGACCTTTCGTGTCTTTACCAACCGCCCACCCACCGGGTCCCCCCGCCCCCCGCTGCCTCCCTCAGGACTGAATTCTGCCCGAGGTACACTGTCCAGGGGGTGGTCGTAATCCATCCATCTCACACATGTTGAGTGATTGAGTAACGCTCTTCCCCAAACGGTTGCCCAGTTACAATGATCATCAGAAAATGTGAAGGTTCATCTGCAAGTTTTTTCTAATTGTGGCCCATCTTCTCCTTGTGTGTACTGAAACTACTCTGCGTGTGAGAGGACCTGGGTGGTTCAGCCCGTGTTGCTCCAGAAGGGGGCCGCTGGTCGCCCGGTGGGCGTGCGTGTGACTGTGCGAGAGACCCCCAAGCTCTCCCCGGAAGCCGCTGAGCCACGTGCGTTCCTACTCGCCGTGTCTGCTTGCCCCACGTCCGTGGCCGTCCGGGGCATTGTCAGTGTGTGTGACATTTTAGCCGCTCTCTCGCGGGGACGACTTAAATTCGGTTGTGTGGACACACGACCCCACCCTCAGCCGCCGCGGGCCATCTGGGCCCTGCAGATCGGGCGAGAGTGGGTGCAGCCCGGGGCCCGAGGCTCCGGTTTCCCTGGGGTTCCAGCTGGACCCCGAGTGTCCTCCCCACCCCTACCCACCCCACGCTCAGTGTCCTGTCTGCGTCTCCATCTCACCTGTGACGGCCTCCCCGGCGGTCACGGTTCCCTGGCACCAAGCACTGCACGAGATGAGCCACGCCAGGGCCTTCCCTGGAGGAGGCTGGAGAACTGGACTGAAGGGAGGGATTCCACACCGGGTTTTAACCCTCTCGCCGCCCCCTTTCCAGACCCGCTGCCGCTGCCCCCCCCCCGGGCCCGGCCCACAGCACGCCCTGTGAGAACCGTCCTCACGGGAGAGGGCGGTGGGAAACAGGAGGCCAGCACACTCTCAGCCAGGCCGCGGTCGTCCGAAGAGCGGACTTGGCTGCGGGGGGAGCGAGGCGGCCAAGCGGATGCGGCGGATGGCTTCCAGATTTGTCTTCCCGAGTAAACAAACTGGGGGCAGGGTCAGCCTCCGTCCACTCACGGAAGCCCTCCTTCTCCCACGCAGCTTTGGAAACCAGAAGGGAGGGTCCCAGCGAGGGTCTGGGGAGCGGCGTTAAGACGGCTGCTCTGGGGCAGAAGCCCGCCCTCGCCACTCACCTGCCGAGACACCGGGCGGAGCAGGGCCCACCCGGGAGTGTCCTGCAAACCGGGGCTCCCAAGAGGCCTGCCCCCCGGGGTCGCGTGCGAGGGGCACCGCACGGTCCCTGGCCCACGGAGGCATCGGCGCAGGCTGGCCGTTCGTTCTGGAAACAGACAGAGCTGGCGGGGCTTTTGGGACAGACAGGGAGCGACAGACAAAGCTGTCCGAACAGGTCGCCGGCCACAGACCGACCGGCCGGCCGGGGTCGCGTGATAGTGGGTACAGTCCCCCGAGGAACCAGCGCCAGGCCTCCGAGGAGAAGGCTTTCGCCGGGTGTCCTCACACATGAGCCCAGCGGGTCTGGAGTCTCCTCCGTGCCCAATGCCAGTGCCAGTGCTGGCGGCCCGGGACCTGCGGGGAGAAGGGAGCATCGACTGTGGATTCGTTGTCTGCAGACTGCCCCGGTGGCTGTCAGAGACCCCGACCCTCGGGGCGTAGGTGTCAGTGCGGCGAGCCGCCCGGACGGGCCGGTGAGATGCCGACCACGAGACCTGTGGGCGCGCAGCCCTGTGACGGCGGAGGCCGAGCTGCGACAGCGCAGAGAGCCCAGGAAGACGCCCAGGTCTCGGGAAAACGCACGGTCGCATCGTCTCTCCTTCCGCGCTCCGGGAGCTCTTCCCCTTCCTGCCCCAGTCGTGAGGGCGGTGGGCGCAGGACCCCTTTGTGGACGTCTGGGTCACAGGCTTCTGAAACATTCCCGAACGTCTGTGGCAAGTGTTTTTTTAAACACAGAGCAGAGCTTTTTACAGCCTCCCCCCTCAGCTCCCTTCTCGGAGGAGAGGGTTAAACTGGGGTGAGGGGGCGGACTGGAGAAGCTTGAGAAAGCTCAAACAATTTGCTTGGAAAGGTCAAAGAGCAGCCGGCTGGAGAAAACGGAGACGGAGAGGCTCAGGGCCCAGGGAGAGGGGAGCCGGCCGGGCTGGGCTGCGGGGTGAGGGCCGGGGGCTGGGGCTCTGGCGGCAACTGCCCACCCCGCGGACACTCGCTTGACCTTCGTCCCAGCCGCAGGAGGCAGTCGTCACCGCTCCCATATAACAGACGAGGGGACACGCAGCACGCCGGGGAGCTCACCCAGAGCCACGCCACTCGGCTGCGGCGGCGCTGGGGTCCAGACCGGGCGGTCTGTCTCCGGGGCCGCGACGTGGGGAGGAGGCTGGGCCCCACGGGGCTCCATGCCGCTCGGGCCCTGAAGGTGGGGTGGGGAGGCCCGTGGCGCCCCGAGGGCTCTGCGAGGGACGGGCTCGAGCCGCTGCGCACAGGGCTCTTCTTCAGGCGGAGGGAGAGGGAAGAGGGCTCAGGGTCACCTCCTCGGCGGTGTCCCGGGAGGACACCCCCCCGGGGAGAAGGGCGTTCCGGGAGTGCGCGTCCTGTCCATCTGGGCCAGGTGCTCCGAGAGCAGCTTCGACGGACCCACGGGGGCAGAGAAATCCATTCGCTGGGTGCGCGTGTGTGTGGATCTGGGGGCAGCTGTCCCGTGGCCTCCGTACGTGATGCTGGATTTGGGGGACCTGGTCACTCCCGTTAGTCACTTCTACACCAGACGGTCTCTTTCCTGTTCAGGAAAGGAGGGCAGGGAAAGGCGGCTCTTCCTCTGTGGCTCGGGCGACCCACTTCTGCACAGCGGCCCTCCCGCGGCGCCGCCGCTGGGACGCGGCGCGGACGTGCGTGCTTTATTTTTAGGGCTGCGCCGACCAGGGGGAGGGAACGGTCCTCGCCGCCCTGAGCTGGTCGTGCTGCCCGGCGGGGGGGGGGGGGGGAGGTGGTTTCCAGGCTGAGACCCCACTTCCTCTGGGCTGAATGTCCACTCTGGTCACCGAGGAGAAATCTAACTGGGAACCAGACCTCTTCTGGTCCTTCCCTGTTTGCATCTGCGCCGCGACTGTGTGTCGTCACACACGATGCCGCACTCATCAGTCCCCGATGCGAATATGACAGGAGTGCGACAAACAACTTGAACAACTCGATAAAGGGAGCATTTTAGTTAAATATCTAATTACTTGTATCTCCCTCTGAAAAAAAGCCTACACGTTTAAAAAGTATATACATCAGCTAGTTTTTGTGAGCGTTTTATACGATGGATACGCTGGTGAACCAAGAGATTTCATGCCGGCCAAAAATCCCAGAGTGAGGCCTTGATGGAATTAGATGTGTAATCCCAGCCGTGACACACAGAAGGCAATGTCTGCAGTGCACGGAAGTAGCTCTGAGCCACGCTGACTTGGCTGGCTTTGAAAATCCTCATTCTGCCCCCGCACGGTCCTGTCCGGGCAGGTAGTGAGTGAGCGGCTGTGACGTGCAGGTGCTTGGTCTCGGCCGCGAGGGTTTGAAACGCACATAGCGAGGAAGACTCTTGCTGTAAAACCGTTTTCAGTGGTGGGTGGAGAACTTGGACACCAGGAGTTAGAGGTCAGCTCGAGGTCACAGAACACGGTGCATGGGTTCACTGTTCAACACACAAGTTCAAGGGTCAGGCTGTGGGACCGGGGGTGGGGAGGCTCGGGCGGTGGACGCCGGCCTGCGATGTCCGGCTCCCAGAGCCACTGGGGCCTCCTTCCGCTTGACACGTCAGCTTGGAGCGGGTTGCGTCGTGGCTGTACGCATGGTCCTCCCGTCTGCGGTCAGACTGCATGCAAATGTGGCGACAGAAGGAGGCAGGGCTGCGTTACAGGGTGCTGGTCGACCTGGACCTGTTTCAGTCCTAAAGAACCAGCTGGTCCTGTGTGTCTTCAAGACTTATAAATCGTTCACTGCACTCATTCCCCCGAGATAGTCTTTCTTGTGGCTGTGTTTCAGACACAAAGCCAGAGTGCTCGCAGAGTGTCTGTTTGTTCTGGGCGGAATGTCACGACGATGCCCATGAGCTTGGCCGCCTCCTTTCCCGCTGGACCCTCTGACCACACACAGGTGTGTTTCCCGAAGAAGAAGAAGACGGCGGCCCCGGCCCTGAGGCTCAGCAGAGCCGGCAGGTTCCACCCCCAGGCTTCCCGTGCGGCCCGGGGCAGGAGAGCGGTGAGGGCAAGGGGAGCATGGGTGAGGGTAGGCTGTGCTTGCTGAGTCTCACCGAGACGCCCGGCAGGGGCTCCGGCTGCAGCCTGAGTGCCGTGTCACGCAGGACACGGTGCGTGTCTCGCTCGGCCCTGCAGGGCCACCCCTGCAGACCTGCTGGCTGCATGACATCTGTTGTAGTGTGACAGGTCATTTACACGCTGAACTTGGAGGACTCGTAGGCGGGCCCTGCATAGCGACGGCAGTGCTCTGCGACCAGCTGCAGGTCAGTGTAGACCGTTTCCGGGGGTAACGTCTGACCCGGAGTCGCATAACTAGACCGTGGTGGGGTGGAGTGTGCGTGGTGGGTAATTTTCACTTTGTCTCAGAGAGTGAGGGGGTTGCCGGGGGAACGGCTGCTCTCTGCGGACATGCGTGCGAACGTCCACACTCATCTGCTGAGAGCTGAGATTACACAGGTGCAGGGCCATGTGAGCTGCTGAGCACTCTGTTTCTTCTCATTAACCCTCATCTAAACATCCTGCTTGCTTCTCCTCCCACAGAGTGGAAGGGAACATTCCAGGGTTCAATCAGGCGAAAGAGCAAGAGGGGATGATCTGATACAATTACTGAGTCACATTGGTTTTTCATCACCCCCCGAGCAGTGACATAAGGTGACAGTGACTGGACTTAGCGTCCAGGTCTGTTTGATGATGGCAGATGACTGGACAATCGTGAGGACTGTGCTAGTGATCTCTTGCAACAGGACAAAGTGCCCGCAGCCCGGGGGTGGTGAACGGACCCCGGGGGGCAGGGCAGGCCCGTGGCTCAGCCCGGGCCCCCTTCTCTCAGGCCAGCAGCGGTGTTTGAGGGTGAGGCCCTCGCCCCCAAGGGCTCCCTCCAAGGCCACTGGGCAGGAGGCCTCAGTTCCTCGCCACCTGGGCCTCTCCCCTCAGGGTCCTCACCCGACAGCAGAGGCAAGCAGGGTGGAGGGGGGGTGCAGACTGGTCTCCAGAGCTGTGTGCCGCCCCCTCTGGGTGCCCTGTTCCTTAGGGGCCAGGCGGCAGGTGCAGCCCCAGGTCAGGGGAGGGGTGTCAGGCTCCGCCCCTGAAGGGTGGAGGCTTGGAGAGTTTGTGGTGACGTCTGGAAACTGCTAAGGACTAAATGTATTTTGTGGCTTCATTCCCTTTCCTTAAAACCGGCCCAGGGATACAGGAGGACGCTGCTGGCTGATTAAAATAATTCTCAAAGCGTCTTTCTCCATCTCTCGTGTGCTTCCCTACCCCCGGACCACCCGAGGCAGCATGGCCTGGGCCGACGGAAGGTGCCGGGCTGGCCTGTGTCCCGGGGACAGCAGAGGGGGCACTCCGGAGGAGCAGTGAGGACGACAGGAAGGGGCCTGCCTCCCGGGCTGTGGCAAAGGGTGGAGGCATTATCATCCTTCCAGAATGTTCTGTCCCAAAGGCCGCTCTGCAGGCGGTTGCAGCTGGCATGGGGCTGATGTCCTTTGCTCCTTAACCTCCACGGGAAGTGCTCACCGCGGTGACCCCATAGTCTGCTGCCCTGGTGTTCCCTGCGCCCACCCTGGATCCAGGGCGCAGGGGGCGCCCGGCGTTTGCTGGAGTTTACGCTGAAGGAGGGAAGGGTCCGGGGACACAACCGTTCCTGCTGGGCACGGGACGGGCCGGGCTTTATTTCAAGCCAGGGGACGGTTGGTGCCACTTACAGATCGCTGTTAAGGGCCGACAGCTTTCTTTGCTTCGGAGCGAACCCAGAGCCCCACAGGCCAACACCTGAGGGGTCTGGGCAGTCGGCACTCGGCACGTGTGCCCGTACGTGGAGGATGGCCCAGGTCCCAGTGCAGGGACACTGGTGAGGAGGCTTTTGCCGGGATCCGGAGCAGGCAGAGAGCCAGCTGCCGCCGGGGGCCAGCAGGGCGGGCTTGCCCCTCCGGTGGGAGGCTGGGGACTGGCCTGGTACAGGAACACGGAAGGAGGAATCTGGAGTGCGTCCCAGGGTGCTTAGATAGACGTATGGGGGAGAGAGTGCAGCCATCCCTAAAACAAAGCATGCCGTGGAGAGAATCCGTTCGTGGGGATCAAGACCATTAGCTCCTTTTTTGGACATGTTGCTTTACTGCCTAATACTCTCCCCTCCCTCCTCCAATGTCAAGGCGGCCTCCCCGCCCCCACGCCCAGCGGACGGCCTGGCCTGTTAGCTCCGTGGAGACAAAGCCGCTAGAAGAACGCTCCCGCCCCCACTCCCACCTCCTTCCCCCGCTCATCAGCGTTTCCCTCCGCACGCGGCGGGCTCAGCCCACAGGCGTGCCTCAGCTGTCCCTCCAAAACCTGGGACCGCACCGGCCCTGCGGGGGCCACCGCGTCTCCGCTGGCCTCTCCGCTGGCCTCTCTGCTGGCCACTCTCGTCCCTGGTGCATGGCCATTGCCTCCCACCCTCCCCAGACAGACCCCCCACCCAGCCCCCACCCTCGCCACTCTGTGGAAACCACCCTGGGTGAGAACCCGCGACTCCCGCGGGCAAGAGCTGTGACCCTTTCTCTGGCCGCACCTCGTCCGGCCGGCCAGCAGCACGTGGCAGCGGTCACTCATTCCTCCGGGACAGACTTGTCCGAGTGCTCTCCGGGACCTCCGCCTGCCCGGCTGTCCTGCCTCCCCCACGGCCTTTCTGAGTCCGCCCGTCACACCTCAGTGGCTCTTATTTGACCATACAAAGTCAAATTCAAGCCCTGGCTGGCGTAGCTCAGCGGATTGAGCGCGGGCTGCGAACCAAAGTGTCACAGGTTTGATTCCCAGTTAGGGCACATGCCTGGGTTGCAGGCCATGGCCCCCGGCAACCGCACATTGATGTTTCTCTCTCTCTCTCTCTCTTTCTCCCTCCCTTCCCTCTCTAAAAATAAATAAATAAAACCTTTAAAAAGAAGACTTGTTTCCAAAAGTCAAATTCACGTGAAACGTGACTGCCTGTGATGGCTCTCACCGTGCCAGGCGAGCTCGCAGGACCCAGTACGGTCCGGGACCCAGGAAGTCAAACACTCGCGAGCCCCTCCAGGAGCCGGGCTGCAGAGCGAGCTGCAGGGCCCGCTCCTTCCGTCCCCGGCGGGCGTGTGCCGGGGCCGTGGCCCGCTGCTGCCTCCACGCCGCGAGGAGCCGCTTCTGTAAACACGGTCTGGTGAATTCACGCCAGTGACCTTTGCTCAGCGGAGTGACCGCCCTTCTCCCCTCAACCAGGTTGTCGGCGTGGCCCAGGCCATCAACAAGAAGTCGGGAAATGGCGGGACCTTCACGGAAAAGGACGAGAAGGTACGAAACGTGCGTCCGGTGTGACGTCTGTCCGGGAAGGTGTGTTCTCTTTAGCCCCCAGGCGGCAAACGCAAGGCCCCAGGGCCGCATCCGGCCCTCCGCCTTGTGTTATCCGGCCGGGCACCTTGTTTCTACCCAACAGCACCGAACTCCCTGCCCCTAGTTAAGGGTAGTCACACTGACACAGTCCTCAAATTACACTCGGCCCTTGGAAGGCCACGGTGAGGCCCATGTGGCCCCCGGTGAAGATGAGTCTGACGCCCCTGCTCCAGAGTGTGCAGACCTCCGGAAGGGGCTCTGGCTGAACCTGTCGGTCACTGAAAGCCCTGTGGTTAAAGGCGGCTCGGAATGGCCGCGCTGCCTTTCCCGCGGCAGACGCAGGGCCGGCCGGACTGCGGGCCACCTGTGCCCTGCGCTCTGATCCGGTCCGCAGGACCCCGCCCTCCTCTCCGTGCGGCCACGCCCCCCCCCCCCCGGGGCCGTCTGCGCACGCGCACTCTGGGGCCTGCCCGCCCAGGGTGCCGGGGACCTCTAATCCGCTCCTGCACCTTTCACCCCTGCCATTAAGGAGTTCACCCTCGAGTGAAACCCGGTAAAGCGGAGCTCCAGGCTGGCGCCGCAGGTCCGCCACAGATCGGAACCGCCTCCGGGGCGCAGCCACCCGCAGCAAATGTTCTCTAAGCTTCGCCCGCGGGCAGACGGCGGGGCGCCGGCGCGGGCGTTCGGGCTGGAGGGGGGGGCGCGTGGCTCCCGCAAGAGCCTCAGAGAGGCCAGCAGCGCCTCTGCGTAATCGGGGCGGCAGGTGCCTGCGCTCCTGCCCCGAGAGCGACCCCTGCAAGAATTTGGTGGGGAGCGCGGCTCTGCGTGCCCCCGTCTGTCTGTGGCCCCTTAACGTGAGCCCCCCCCTACCCCACCCCCGGAAAGAGTCGCATCCCAAAGCTGTGGCGTCTCCCGGCAAAGGGAGCCCGTGGCTGTGCATTAAAGGGTGTCGTGTAAAGACGTGGTTTGATGGACAAGTGATACCATCGTGAGCCCACCGCCTTCGCGTGGTGCAGGGAGGGTGACCGCTGCGCGTTACAGAGAACGAGGTTCGGCTCCTATGTAAGACTTCACAAGCGCGGGAGCTCCGAGTCTCCCTGCCACGCAGAGGCCGCACCGCCTCCGGCACGGGCGGGTTCCGCGTCAAAGGATGCAAAGAGCCCCGCGTGTCCATCCCACTCGCTCCCTTCTCCTTGCTCCTTAGCGGAGAGCGACCGAGCAGACCGTGCGAACCCGTGGCATCCCCCGGGGGGCGCCACTGAGCGCGCACCTGCTCTGCTTGCCTTCCGAATTCTCCGCAGGACAGACACACGTCTCCACTTGGGGCTCTCTAACGTTTACTGCTTCAGCTCCGGACAACTTCGGACGCCTCCAGGTAACGTAACAGGACACTTGTAACAGGTCGTTCTCATCTGGCCACGTGTCCCGTTCCCTAGGACTTCGCTGCCTACCTGGCCTTCTGTGGGATCGTGCTGCACAACGCCCAGCTCTACGAGACGTCACTGCTGGAGAACAAGAGAAACCAGGCAAGTCGGGGGCCTGGAGGGCGCAGACACTCTTCTGAGGTCGTCGTTAGCCTTGTGTCCAACACGCGTGCATGGTGTTTGTCCGTGTGTGTACGTGTGCGTGTGACTGAAACCCCACAGAGTACGGATTCCCTTTCTACATTCTTTAGCTGCTTCTTCTGACGGTCATTCCCGTTCCCAACAGTCTGTGCGTCGTCACTGACCGGTCGGCGGTGCCGGCTGACGTTACGGGCGCGGGTGCACCGGGCTCGCACCCCCGCGGCTGGCGCGGCCCCCAGCCTGCCAGCACCTCGAAGCCCCAGGGCTGGCTATCGGATGGGCTGCATCTGTGATGTAAATGAGGCTCCTGGGTCTCGCTGTCCGCGCGGGAGACACCACCTCTTGGTTTTCCTCTTCCCCAGACCTCGTGTCCCCTTCCTGACCACCGCTCCTGACCTCTGCGCTCCCAGCCAACTTGTTCTCCCAGGCTGCCCGCGTGGGTAACCCACGTACTGTCCACAGCCAGAGTTAAATCCTCTTACCTTCTGTCCAGGTTAATTCTGACGCTGCAATTCCAAATAAGGGGTTTTTATAAGTACTGTGACTGTGTAAATGTTGTTCATCTGCGTGTTTCTGGATGTTTCTGACGTCCTTTCTTTCCTCCTGGAACTGTTTGCCCTGGTATAACCGCACGCCAGCTCCCACCCGCCGAGACCGTCCGTTATTTAGGCATCTGCTGAGTTCTTTACCTTGGAGATCTCCTAATCAACGTCCTCCTCCCTCCTCCATCTGTCCTCCTCCACGGCACGCATCCTCACCCACGGCCTCGGCACGGGCGGCCGTGGGGAACCTCCGTCACGGCCTCCTTAGGGGGGCTCCTCTGCTCTCCGCCGGGTCCCTAACCCCTCTCGGTCCCCCGCCCCGTGCCCCCGCAGCCCATCCCCAGCGAACTCCGGGAGGGGGTCCGTGGCGAGGCAGGCTCTCGGAGTCCGCACATGCATGCAGGCGTCCTCTGTGCCGCCCTGCTGGCTTGGCTGGGTACGACATCCCCAAACAACAAAAACGACCAGCGTCTCAGGTTGTAAAGGCAGCGCTTTGTGTTCCAACTAGCATCCGTGTCGCTCTGACTCTCGGCTCTCTGTAGGTTCTTATTCCGTCTGTGAGCTCTTGGGTCCTTTCTTCATCTTTGCCTTGGTAACCTAGTCTCACAACACGACTTTTTTTTTAACTCATTACGCTGCTACCTGGTCGTCCCTTTCAGCCTAGAGCCTTACGTCCTTGGGTTTTAGGTGACTCCTTCTCAGCGTTTCTCTGACGCTCCATCTCCCCCGCTCTTCATTTTCTTCTGTTTCAAACTTGCGTTAATAAGATAAACTTGTGTTTACAAGTGTCTTATAAATGCTAAAATGTTTTATTCTTACAATATTACTGTGACTTCGGAACCACTGTTACCCTCATTTTTAAGAATCTGGCCCTAGACCACAAACCTGAGGGGAAGGCAAGTTGGGGTTCAAGTTCGGTAGCTCTAGACTCAGAGGCTGCGATTCAACCGGGGCCCTAACTGTAACGACAGTGGGCAGGGGGCTGTTGCCAGGGAGCAGAGACGTACATGGGTAATACTCAAACCCCAACCTGGTCCTAGCTTGTTACATTGAAGGCATACAAACAGCACAAAGCCCGTGTTTGTCATTATATGGCTTTCATGATCACAAGCGACTACTAAATAATAAGCCCCTGACGTTTCCTGGTCTAGGTGCTGCTCGACCTCGCCAGCCTGATCTTCGAGGAGCAGCAGTCGCTGGAGGTGATCCTGAAGAAGATCGCCGCCACCATCATCTCCTTCATGCAGGTGCAGAAGTGCACCATCTTCATAGTGGACGAAGACTGCCCCGTGAGTGCGGGCGCTGCCCCTCCCTTCCAGAAGGACGGGCACGGTCCTCAGAGCGCCGCCTTTCAACCGCATGCCCGCCCCCGGGCCCTCTCCCAGACTCCACCCCTCCCCCGGCTGCTCACGCACAGCCGATGACAGACAGGCGGTGGGAGCTGTCCCGGCGGAACTCGGTGGCGGCGGTGGGGGGGCAGGGTCCCTTCAGGGTCCCTCCTCTAAGCAGTTGCCACGGCCGTGCCCGGGCAGCTGTGGTCCGTGGCCCCACAGCCGTGATGGGGAGTCACGTTGGCGGTACTCCCTGTGGTCAGGAATGGGGGGTCCCAGCTTCGAGGGCCAGGCAGACCCCCATTCTGAATCCTGGGGTATACACTTTTCTTTTGTCTGGAAATTGCTCGAAAACCAGCCGGCAGGGCGCCCTAGCGGAAGTGCTTTTCAAGCGGCCCCCGCATCCCCAGCCGCTGTAGCGTTCGGGCTGGTGGCGCTGCACCCGCCGGTCGGTAATGCGGAGCAGCAGACGCGTGTGCGGGGGGACTGTTCTTCATTCGGCAGAGGGCTGGCCACCTCTAGTCCCGGCCGCGTCTGCAGGCGTGCAGGCGTGCAGGCGTGCAGTCGTGCAGTCATTGCAGTCGGCACCGGCCCGGCCGAGGGCAGGTTCCCTCGTGCACCTTCCTTCCCGGCCCCGCCCACGCACCGCGGCCTCCGGCGTGTTGCTGTTTGAGGGGGTCGTTCCTGTTCTTCCTCCTGCAGACCCGGCGGGTGGGCTCCTCTCTGGTGGGTGGGTGGGCAGGAGGGCGGGGCTCCCGCTGGTATTGGTGGGCCGCAATCCGTGTACGACATCTGAGTTGATGTTTTTGGGGGGAAAGTAGAATAAAAGACGCTTACTATTTAAATCAAACCTAAACACGTTAATTGTGAGGTGGTCAGACTGCACCGCACGGCCCACCGTTACCGGGACCGCCGTGTGCACGAGTCCCTCTCGCCACCACGGCATCAGGTAGGGTGCCCCCGGCTGTCAGGGAGTCCGTGTTCCCAGAAAGCCTGCTTCGCCGTCTAAACCAGCCGTGAAATCTCCCTATGGAGATGGCTGCAAGATGGTAGCTGCCCTCTCGAAGTTCGGGCCGGCACTCATTAACGCAGCCCGTCAGCCCGCTGAGTTCGCCCGGGGCCCGCTCGCTCTTCAGCGTCTGATCTGCGGACGTTGTGTGTGAGGCCCCCTTCCCAGACAGCTGCATGTGCTCTCATTAGCATTGAGCCCGTGCCTCCCCGCCCCGCCCCGCCCCTGCCGCGACCGCCTCTGACCCGGTTCGGCGGTGCTTCGGAGTAAGGTCCCCGTTGAGCAACTTCAGTGCTTGGGCTCCAAATTTACATTGCAATTATTTATTGATTCAGAGTATGTCAACAGCGTGAGCCAAAATCAAAATGTAAGCAAGGAAAAAAAAAACTAATGTCTTTGTTTTATTTTTCTGTTTCCTTCTAAATCTTTATTCAGGTGTAAGGGTGGCCTCATTGCAAACATGTCCTTTGCTTTTTTTTTAAGGGAAAAAAAAAGTATTTTTCTATGTGGCTAATTATTGTAAGATCTCATAAAATATTACTGAAAGGCACGTCTTTTAAAAAAAGACACTTCTCACCCAGGGTCCAATGGCAGCAATAAGTAGATGCCTAAAAGCAAGAACTGGGGGACTCGGAGTAAATACAGAGCAGTTCTGAAGCCAACATTGGTTCACACCTGGTGGGGGAAAATAATAAGCCAGTCACGAGGGGAGCGCGGCGGGGACAGGAGCACGGCCTCCGTCCCACGCGGTCGTGAAGCGAGGGCTCGGGCCCGTGTCCTCGGAAAACAGCTGAAAAAAAACCCCGACCCCAGGGCTCCGCGTGCCAGTCCTGCCCTGGCCGTGTGAGTCTGTGTGTGCGTGTGCATGCATGTGCATGTGTGTGTCTGTGTGTATGTGTACATGTCTGTGTGTGTGCGTGTGTCTGTGCGTGTCCGCGAGCAGCTGCGGGGGGCGCCTGGCCGGGCACACCTCTCAGTGCCGCCGCTGCCGCCCTCTCCCCCCAGGACTCCTTCTCCAGCGTGTTCCACATGGAGTGCGAGGAGCTGGAGCGGTGCCCCGCCGCGGGAGCCAGGTAAGGCCGCGTCCCCGCCCACGCCCGAGGGGGTGGCACTGGCTGAAAGGTGGTCGCTCGCGCGCCCCGTTAAATTTAAGACCCAGACGCTCCAGGCTGTCCCTTCCCACACTTTAAAACGGCCCGGTCCACGGTGAATAGGGGAATGCACCTCAACTGAGTGCCAAACATCCGTGTGTAGGGAAGCACATGTGGTGGCACATGCATGTTAATAAAAAGTGGTTGAATCTGGGGTAGGACATCCATTGTGCTTCCAGCTGTTTTGCATATTTCAAAATATGCATCTCACGGAGTTAGAAGGAAACGCTTGTGGTGGAAAACCACACAAGACCAGTGGAGGGCAAGTCACCTCTGCGGGTCCCGTCAAGTGGGCTGCAGGGCGGTGCACCCTCGCACGACTGACCCGCCCCCCCTCCCCCCTCCCCCCTCGCCCCGTCACCACAGGGTCGCAGGCACCGCCCTCCGCCCTCGAACCCCCCTCCTCTCCTCCCCTCTCCCCCTCTCGTCTGCGCTCTCCTCTCCTGGCCTCCCAGGTCTCCCCCCACCCCGACGGAAAGCTGCTCCACAGCCACTGCAGCCCTTAGTTGGTTAGGGGCTGTGTGTCTAAATCAAAACTCGCTGTGTCTAGGCTATTATTTTTACAAGGAACGCCAGTGAAAGGCCTTTCTCCTGTTAGAAGAATTCTGGGAGGCGGCTGAGGGGCAGGAGGCAGCTGGGGGCGGGTGGGATTCCAGGGACGGGTGCAGTGGGTGCCCCTGGCTTGGACCTCGGCTGCCGACCTGGGCGTGGGGCGGCCGTGCAGGTGGGTGGGCCGGGGGGCTCTCCCCAGAGGCTCTGCCGCCCCGGAGTTTCTCGCTCACGGAGTCACAGCTGAACAGCTGACCTGCATTTCCCCCTCAGCATCGCTGGTCTGGACTGCAGTTGGTCCCTTCTCCGCGTGCTTTCTGATTCTTTGACTCTGTGGAGTGGGTATCGAGTCCTCTCTGGAGGCGCAGTGACGCGGCCACATCCTGGGGAGGGGTGGCTCTCCGGCTCACGTGCGGGCCCCAGGCTCCCCCGCCCAGGTCAGCTGTGGAGTCTCTCATCCTCAGGACAGGCGTGGATCCATGCTGTTGTGATGTTACGAGGCTACGGCACTGTCGTTGCTTTTTATCAAGAACATGCTAGAAAGCTTCTACATGAGACATGCAAATATTTGACTGTTTTTCTTTTCGGCTTGCACAAACAGTGAATTTCTATACATGTACAGATATAAACATACATGTATGTTCATGAATTTACACACGTCTCTGGGATGGTAGGAAATGGGCGTGATAATGCACACTAAGTGTGCACCGTTGTGAATGATCTGCATGTGCCTTTGGATGTCTGTGCAGCAGCGTGTCTGTGCAATTACATTTCGTGCATTTTCATTTTGATTTGATTACGAACTCAGCCAAGTCCTCTGATTCCTCACGGTCACAGCGGAAGGAGCCCAGTGAGTTGGTGTGAGGGTGACCCCTACTGGTCAATGTGCATTTTTTTAAAAAGCACGTCTTTCTGCGGATTTAATTTCTTACTATATAGTCAATCTGTGTCTGGGGAGCACCCTATCCCTTCCTGTGAGCCAAACAGAGGTATCTTTTCGCGTATGTTTTTAATCATTTCAAAACTGTCGTAGGAGGAAGATATTCTTTACGAAGGATAACTAGGGGAGTGTGGCTGATCTGCACGGGTCATTTTCACCGATCATTAGCTCGTTCTGCAGTAATGGACATGATCGGACACTCCTGCCTTATGTCCACTCAACACTTTAAACTTGGCCGTTAGTCTAAGGATGCAATTAAAGATCTCTCAGTGACATGAATATGTTTTTAAGTAAAACTTAGATAAGGGGCTGAAGTTTGCAGAAACTCTGCACTGGACTGGCGTTTATTAAGCCCTGCGCCCCGAGCAGGGCCTGAGCTGCCCCTCACACAGCAGCAGCAGCAGCAGCAGCAGCAGGCCCCCCTGACCTCCCGAGGCCGCCCGGTGAAGGTCCCACCCAGGCCTCTGCCATTCCGTCTCCCAGACGTCTGTCCGTCCAAACACTCTTCTGAGAGCGGGAGGCGTCAGTGGTGAGGAAATCGGCCTTTCGGGCAGTGCTGTGTCACTTTAAAAGCTCGGTCCGTTTGGTGTGTTTCCAACCAGCCCACTTATCTTCTATAAACTCAGATGTTACGTTGCAGACGGCCTGGAAATGTTGAGTGCGGAATGGAAACACACCCGGGGTGCCCTCGAGCGTCATCGCTGGCCCCCTCCGTTCCCCCCATCTCCCCGAGTTCCCACCCGTGACTCTCACCTGCCACCCAGCCTCCAACAGCACCTCGCCCACCCGCTCCAGGCAGCAGCGAGCTGTCCCCCGCCCCCCAGCGCCCGTGGGGTGGCGCTGGGACCAGCTGCGTTAGTCGGCGTGGGGCCTGAGCGTGACCCTGAGACCCCGGCACGGAAGGGGCCTAGGCAGGGGTGCAGCGCTGTTGCTCCGTCCTGGGGACGCCCGAGGTGGCCCAGGCCCCTTGGGGTTTCTCCCCGAGAGTCCAGGGTGGGCCCTTCCCGGGGGTTCGGGGTGCAGCTCCGGCCGCCCCCGCCCTGTTCCTGAGGGTGGCATGGAGACAGCGAGGACAGGCAGAGAAATGTGCCCGCAGCCCCTCAGCTGGGGTTTCTGGAAGCCCCACATCTCCTGGGCTGCCCTGCTGGCTTGGACCGACTCGGGCGGCGACCCCCAGCCACAGGGCGGCTGAGGTCCGTGGTCTTTGTCCCCGGCCGGGGGCCCAGACCGGAGGGAGGTGGGGGCCGGACGCTGGCAGCCTGGGCCCTGGACGGGGCACTACACTGACCATGGGTGCAGATGGCCACTGCACCACCCCTCCGCCACAGCCCCGCCTGGACCATCAGCACCCGGGGCGGCACTGCCCCGCGCCCCCTGGTGCCCTCCCCGCCGCCCCCCACCCCGTGCTGCCGGCGGCGCCTCTCTGCCAGCCGGCGCTCGCTCTGCGTTAACCGAGCGTGGGAACGGAGGGTTTGTCGGCATTTCTCCTCGCGTCAGGGGAAACGGTGCCCGAGACTTAGTCAACCACGCACTCCCCGTTCACCGGAGTGGCCGCTAGGAAAACTGGGCAGTGCCGGGGAGTTAACAGGAGAGCTTTGAACCGATGCCTCTGGCAGCGCACCGGTCCCTGTGCCCCACCCGTGCGGCAGAGACTGGGGGGGCATCCCCAGTTCCAGGGAACTGTTGGAAGAAGATACAGTGTTAATCCAAAAAGTATCATGAAAGATCTCAGAGGAAAAGGGGAGGGGAGCGCTTCCTCAGTGAGACCCGCCCAGGCCGGCCTGACCTGCCCCTGGTCTGGGGTGCGGGCGGACAGGAGGTTGGGGAGCAGGGGCCCGCGGTGGGCGGGCCGCCCCTCGGCCTCCGTGATCTGGTGAGACACACGCCCTGGGAGGAAGTCCGTGTGGTTTTACACTAAACGGCCCCCAGTCAGTGTGCCGCTAACAATGGCAGTTCGGTCACTGAGGACGTGGGAAAACTTGTCATAAGACACACGAAAGGTCGTGGGCCTTTGTCTTTTCGAGACGTGTCAGTGACAGTGACTCCCGAGGGCCGTGCGTCATCACACACGTGTGAAACGGCCTTTTCCGAGTCAGACACACGCTTTGCCCTGTACCCTGCGGCCGGCCCGTGTCTCGCGCACTCGGCCCTGCCCTGCCCTGCCTGGGGAGGACTCACACGCGTGGTCCCGCCCGCAGGGAGCGGGCCGCGGGCCGGACGAACTACATGTACGCCCGCTACGTGCAGAGCACCATGGAGGTCCTCAACGTCGCCGACGTCGCCCAGGACAGGCGCTTCCCCTGGACGGTGAGTGCCCTGCAGACCGGGGGGGGACCCCGCAGCTGCAGGGAGGGCTGGCAGGCGGGCGGGGACAGGTCCGGAGTGGCCTCCATGCTGTCCCTGGCCCCACAAAGGGGCACCGAGCAGCTCTCAGCGCCTGTGGGCACCGGCGGCCACCCCGACTGTTCTGCCGTGCCCGTCCGTCAGGGGGTTCAGGCACTCTGAGGAACCCCACGGGCACCGGGTCTGGGGGACTCATCTACGGCGTGCTCCCCGTCGGTGGCCTTCTTTAGATGCTCGCCAGGATTCTCGCGTCTGCCCTGAAGACGAAGCTCCGTGGGGCCCGAAGGCCCGTGGCCGGAGATCCGGCCCGCGGAGCAGCCCTGCGGGAAACGGAGTCTGTTTCTCCTGACGGCAAAGCCACAGAGACCAGTGTGTCGGCCATTGAAGGCCTTGGGTTCTGGCATTTTCCCTCAGGAAAGCGCCGCCCATTGCGGCCACTGTCTCGCTGTTACTTCAGGCCCAGGGGGCGTCTCAGAGGCCGGCAGGGTGGGCGTCGGAAACAGCGGCAGTCTGTCCGCGGAGGGGCCGGCGTGTGACCGTGGGCCCGGGGTTGGGGGGGCCCCTGGCTCTGCCCCGTCACTGTGTCACCCGACACGCCTCCCACCCGGGGCGCGTGCGTGCCAGCCGCCGGGCCGTTTACAGCGGACAGGGAAGAAACGCGGGGCGTTCGTTATGTCAGTGACACAAAGACTGACCGCTTCAGGCTGCAGTTTGAGAGCCCTGCTCTCGCCGGTGCACCTTCTGCCACTCCGGCTGGTACGAGACGCCTCTGTTCTTGGACCCCGGTGTCCGGCACCGTGTCCGTGGTAGCGTCTCGTGGGCAAATCGGTCTTCTTGTAACTTGTCGCTGGTCTTCTTGTCTTTGTTCAGAACGAAAACGCAGGGGACATCAGCCAGCAGGGCATCAGAAGTCTGCTTTGTACGCCCATAAAAAACGGAAAGAAGAACAAAGTGATAGGTAAGCCTTTCCTTAGCCTCCACGCTGCCCTTACTAGAGAAAAAAATGAATCTTCTCCCAAAGGATATCTCCCCAGAAACGTCTCTCCCGAGTGCAGATTTAAAGAGTAACGTGTGTATGAGATACAAACTGAAATGCAGGAAGACTTCTGAAGTAGCCACAGACGTGGGTCACGTGTCTCACCGACGAGGATGCACTTTGGTGACTGTTCTAACCCCGTCTGGGCGGACGCCGTGTCTGAGGGGGCCCTGCCGGGAGCCGGCAGACGGAGGGACGGCGGGCCGACCACGCGCATCCTTTCAGAGCCTCTCGCTTCTCGGTTTCCCACTCTGCTCTCACGAGTGCGCGGTCGGGACTGCAGGCTGTACCCCTCCATTCATGGAAAATGCTTAGCGAGCCCCCCGTCTGCTGCCGTCGGCACGGGGGGCACACCAGTGACCCAGGCAGAGCGAGGCCCCGGCCCACGGCCCACGGGGAGCTCAGGCCCCGGTCCGCGCTCTCGGAGAAACACTTCTGGTGGGGGGGGGGGGTGTGCCGCCTCACTGTGTGTGTGCCCCGCAGGCGCCGCCTGCCACCTCCTCCCCGACCCGTTCTGGGCTGCGGTCGGATTCCAGAGCCGTGGGCGTGGGCGGCTGCCCCGCTGTCAGAGGCAGGAAGACCCCCACAGACACACACACACACACACACACACACACACGCACACACGGGAGGGCAAACCTGAGCGCACTGCAGACCGCCTGTGGTGTGGGAACCGGCGTGGGCGCCACGGTGACAAAGGGGCGGGGCCCATGGCCTCGCGTCCTCGTGGCCCGTGAAATCCTCTGGGGGAAAGGGGAGAGAGCGGACGGCAGTCCTCACGGGGCGGGGGGGGGAGCGGGGACCGAAGCCGCAGCCCGGCCTTGCCCCACCGGCTCGGTGGCCAGTTTCCGTGCCCCCCGCCGCAGGCCGGGCCTCCCGCTTGCTGAGGAAGCGGAACCAAGGAAGCGAAGTCTCTGGGCCCAGGGACGCAGGGTCTAGAAGAGGGACGAATACAGTCCCCCATGATACACCGGGTGGGGACGCGGAGGGCGCAGAGAAGAGTCGCCGCCTCCCCGAGAGGTGGGGGGCCCCAGGGCTCACCGGGCCGGGCTCCAGGAGCGGGAGCGTGGGGGCGGGCAGGCCGGCGGACACGCACAGGCCAGGTGCAGAGGGGAGCTGCTGGCGGCAGCGGGGTGCGGGAGCAGCAAGCAGCCCCATGTGGCGGAGAGTGGTCGTGGGGGCCGGGCTGAGCTGGGGCGTGAGCTGGGCATCCAAGCGCACCAGCTCGGTGGTCTTGAGCCAATGAGCTCCCCTTTCCGAGACTCGGTTTCTCCATCTGTGAGATGGGGTGGTCGCACCCACCTCACTGTACATCGTGAGGCCATCAGCACCCTGGAGCGTCGGGCCCAGGCCTGCCCCCTGGGGCGCAGCTGGTGGAGTCCGTTATCATCGATTCAGAGAGGGAGGAGGGGAGGGCTCACAGGACACAGTGTTACCCGGAGGTGGGAGGCCCCCAGACGGACCGCAGGCTTGGGGTCCCACAGAACAGCTGGCTCTGGGGAGACCCGTCACGGCGTCGACCTCGCCTTCCTCTCCTGTGGGTGACTCGCTTGACTCGTGAGGAAGAGAGGCTGGACGGAGGCGGCGAGGGTTTCCTTCAGAGATCAGCTCTGCTTTGATCTCTACGTAAAGCGCCGTCTTGTATTTGCGGCGGCATTAGAAGTCGTCTGCAGGCGTGATTGTCCCAGATGCGGGGGTGGGGGGGGGGCCGTGTCTGGAGTCTGAGGTCCCATCGTGAGTTGCCCGTGTTCTGTGTTCCGTGTGGCACGGCACCGTGTTTGTAACTCCGGGCTTCTCAGTAAGGAGACGCAGTCCGCGTGACCCCAAGTTCTGATGTGCGCCAAGTCCTCTTGGCCAGGGCGCAAAAATCCAAATAGTCTCCGAAGGACAGACTGTCTTTGGGGACTCCGGTGACCTCAGATCCACGATCGAGTTTGGAGGGAAACAGCGCTCCAGGGTTGTCTGGAACACGCAACCTGCGCTTGGGGCTCCGAGGAATGAGCTCTCGTGTAAACAAACTCCACCGACTCTTCTGTCTTGCCCTGCATGGGGGCAGGTTTGTTTGCTTGTGCTCAGATGCCGGGCATTCCTCGGAGGAAAGTACAAGTCGGTTTTCAGGGGGTGGGGCGGGGGGGGCAGAGTCGACAGGAACCGTGACCGACGCCGGTAACCCGTGCCCCCTCCCCCCCCGTTGGGCCGTTGCAGGCGTGTGCCAACTGGCCAACAAGATGGAGGAGGGCACGGGCCAGGTCAAGCCTTTCAACCGCAACGACGAGCAGTTCCTGGAGGCGTTCGTGATCTTCTGCGGCCTGGGCATCCGGAACACGCAGATGTACGAGGCCGTGGAGAGGGCCATGGCCAAGCAGATGGTCACGCTGGAGGTGAGCGCAGCCGCGGGGGCGTCCCGGCGTCCACGGCGCACACGCGGGTCCCCGTGCCGTCCCCACGACACGCGGGTCTCTCCTGTCACCCACCCTCGCGGGGTCGGGGGACCCGCAGGACCGAGGCCCTCCGCCCCCATGCAGACAGCTGAGGAAGCACAGCCCCAGAGTGCGCGTCACAGGTCAGGGAGCCAAACCACAACCCGGCCCCCGGCGGGCCCCGCCTGTCCTCTGCCTTCTCGGCGGGACGCGATCCTTGACCCGAGTCACCCGTGCGCACAGACGGCACTGCCCGCCTGTCCCCACGCCACCTCGCCGACAGCTGCGGTCACACAGACAGCACCCCGAGTGCTCCCGGGGAGTCGGAAGGAGGGAAAGGAAAGCCAAGTCCACACGAGTCAGGCACAGTGTGAACCCCCAGACTGGCTGCCCCACTGTCTCTCAGAGACTCACCGCACAGACGGGCGGGCCGGCTCCCGAAGAGTCTGACTGGGCGGAGGCTGGGGCTCTGCTGCTCCCGAGACTCCCCTCCCCGAGATTCCCACCAGCAGGGAGCCACCGGTGGGGAAACGCCGCCCCCCCCACAGGACCCAGGTGGGGCAGCCCCCTCCAGGGGCCCCGTTTAGGGAAACAGACTCCAGAAGTGCAGGTGCCTCTCTGTCGTTCACGCGTCGGCGGGAAATGCATGTGAGTGTCTGCCCGCTCAAACCCAGCTGAGACGCGCTGGAGTCAGTGTGCGGGGCACGGCTTTTCCTCGAACCCCTAGTAAACAAACACCCGGCCTGAAGAGCTAGAAAGGGTGCACGACACGCCGAGATTCACCAGGACCCAGGACGGGTCACTTTACGCCCCAAAGGGAACACATGACACTGTTGGCCGTGGCGTTCGGTACGATCGAGAACCAGGGGCGTCTCAGGGGCGTCTCAGTTCCAGATACGCGCGTGCATGTGTGCGCACACACTTACCCACGCAGATACACTCTCGTATGTGTGCGGAGAGTCCCAAACATCTAGAACGGAAGTACCTTCCTACCAACGATGCCGAAACTCTGGGGGGCGATTCTGTCACTCTGCGTTGCCCCTGACAAAAAGGAACTTTCCGGAATGAGCTCTGAAAGCATGCCCCATGTTGGGATCCCAGCCACCGCCCTGGTTACCGAGAGCGTCTGGAACGCTCTCCCAGCGCCGGGCGGCTGTCACTCTCCTAAACGGGGACGGCGACCCTCTCGTCCGATCCGGCCGTGACAGCCGGTGAGCCCGACCCTCCGGCCCCGCGAGGGTGATGGGCCGTGCTCCGGAGCAGGGGGCGGGAAGCTGGGTCCGCACCCCCCCCACACACACACACACCCACTGGGCGTGAGCTCCCTGCGCCTGGGTGTCCTCAGCCGGCGGTGGGCGGACCCTGGGCCCGTGCCTCTCTGCTCACTCGGGGTCCCGTGCGTGGGAAGGGGTCCCTGAGCCCGTGGCGTTTCTGTCCCACCCGCAGGTTCGCGTCAGGGGCTCTGCACAGGGGGCACGGGCCCCCGTCTGAGAGCTGCCTCTGCTCGCCCCCCCACCCCCTGTAACAGCAGCACCGAAACGCCAGCTTGTGCGAGCGCGGTTGTCCTAAGTGTGTCCACGAGCACAATCAACTAACGTCGGTGTTTTTTAAGGGAAAAAACAAAACAACCAAAACTACATGTTTCGCCAAGTTTGAGCCAATAGCGTGGCTCATAAACGTGTTTGTTTCTCCAACGGCATCGGGCTTCTCTGAACGCGGGGCCCACAGCGCCGTCGTCCACGACAAACAGCGGACAGGGAGTCGGGGCTCTCCCTCTGGGGACGAAGCAAGCCCTGGCGGTCTGGGGGGTCCCGCCCCCCTTCCGGGGAGCTGTTTCGGCAGGGACCCCCGCCCACGCAGGTGGGCCCTCCCGGTGACCGTGCCGTCTCTCCGCAGGTCCTGTCCTACCACGCCTCGGCGGCCGAGGAGGAGACCCGGGAGCTGCAGTCCCTGGCGGTAATGCCCGCTTCCCCTGTGGGAGCGACCGACCCCCTCACGCACAGACATGCCTTCCCACGGTGTCTGCCTCCCCTGCCACGGCCCCCGCGACCCGTGGCCCCACGGGGCCGAGATGCAGACGGACACGCACAGACACGCTTAGCCAGCCCCCATTTCCCACAGGGCCGCAGGCCCGGGCGATGCACAGACAATGGCTGACATTGACCTGTCACACGTCAGACGGTGCTGGGCTTTTTCCCAACGGTTGCTCTCGTCTTTACATCTGTCTCAGGCCGGAATTAAGTTTAGTTTCCAGTCTCTGCAGGGACGGGCCCGGCGGTTGTCTGGCCAGGGTCACGGCCGCAGGAGCGCGCCGTTGCGATGCTGACAGCTACTCCGTCTCAGTGAGGACCGGGCGTGGTTTCCAGACGAGTCTGAGCGCACGGCTGGCGGAGCGTGTGTGAAGGGGGGTCCCGTCGGGCCAGGCCCCGAGTTCTCGCTGCATTCCCGCGTGTGGGCTGAGAGAGACAGGCGTGCCGGTGTGGAGCGGCGTGTCCCCGCTGTATGTAGCTCCCCACAGAGACGGCCGGGGTCGATGCCGTGGACACCTGAGGCGTTGTGGACACTGGACGGCCAGGGTGGGCCTCCTGAGTGTGAGTCTGAGGCGGCGGTGCAGTTAGGTCCCTGTGGCACGGGACAAGAGTCCTGCACGGGACGGTGGGCGGGGCCGGGTCGTTGTCACCGCTGAGAGCACCGTCACACTGGCGCCCACGGAGCTCTCCCCACGTCTTCTCGTGCGCACTGTGAGCTGTGGAGGCCACGGGAGCCGGTGGCCGTGGCGGGAAGCGGGGGTCCACGCGCACAGGCCCCCCCCCGGGGCCCACGCACGGCCCCGCGGCCCCACCTGTCAGGGACCGAGGAGGAGGGAGGTGCGCCGGACGAGGAGGACAGAGGCTCGACAACCAGAGGGGGGGTGTCAGGGAGGAGGGCCAGCTGGTCTGCTGTATGTGGGACGTGGTGGGTGGGAGGCGCTGCCGGGCCGACCAGATGGACACTGGCCATCAGAGGGACAGGCTGGCGCAGGGAGGGTGGGCGCTCAGACCTGGAGGCGGTGCTCTGGGAGGCCGTCCTGGGGTGTGGGGGTGCGGGGGTCCCCGTGGCCAGGAAGTCACAGCAGGGGGCGCTGGGAGAGAGCGCAGAGACAGCAGGGAAGACGGCGGAGCAGGGCCGGGAAGAGCTGAGAGGCCGGGCAAGAAAGCAAGGGCGGGGCGGTTGGGGGGGCCCCGCGGAGGGTCGCAGCAGAGGCGGCTCCGAGGGGAGGGCGTCCCCAAGGGGCAGGACGGGTGACGGACACGAGGACTGAGCCGAGGCTGTGGACGTGGTGGCGGCGACAGCGTCTCAGCTGGGCACTGAGAAGGCAGCTGTGGACAGGCACGCGGGAGGAGGAGACGAGGGGACGGAGGGGATGAGGACAGCCTGTTTCTCAGAAACAGGTCTTGTGTGAAAGAGGGAGGAGCAGGAGCTACGAAGGGTGTCGGCTGAATCCGGGAGGTTTTTCCTGTTTGTGCTCCCGAGTGTCCTGCTCGCAAGCACGTGCAGCCAACGTGCTCTGGGGCCGAGGCGGGGAGCCCAGTGCAGGGCGGGAAGGGGCCCGAGCGGCCGGGAGGGCCGTCCCCGCGGCCAGGACGCGGGTTCAGGGGTCACGAGGAGAACAGCTGCGTGCACGGAGCCCGGGCGAGGTTCGCCGTGTGTGTCAACAAAGCACGTTTAATCCACAACAACTCTGTACGTCGGTGACCCTAGCACTCTGAAATGTGCTCGAGGTAGACAGCGTTTCCGTTGTCCTTCTCACGGTCTCACAGCTCCGGGGGGCGGGGCGGGGGGCTGGGAAGGCAGGGAGGGAGGGAGGAAGGGAGGGAGGGAGGGAGGGAGGAAGGGAGGGAGGACTGCGTATCCTCAGCCACCCCCCGAGCAGCCAGCCGAGCCCTCTGCTGAGGGGAGTTCCAGGAACTTGAGACGGTTTGTCTCCCCCCGCACCCCCGAAGTCAGGCTCCTTTGGAGGTCAGCCTCATTTGGAATGGGCCGCATTTGTTTTGTTCTGGATGGTGTTTGAGGAAGGGAGCCTTTTCCCAATTATGTACGTAGGTCGAGAGGTTCAAAGTGTCTTTCCCTTCAGGCTTCACTGGCCCCTTTGTCCGACCCTCCCGGGGTGCTCACGTCGGGGACTGAGTCCCGCTGTGGGTGGGAAGTGACCGCGTGGGAGGAAGCACTTCTCAGTGCGGTGGGCGCTGTGGGGTCACTCAGTCCTGAAACAACGTCCAGTCTGCTCCCTGCTGTGTGTTGTTTTGTATAAATAAAAGTCAGCACAGAGAGCACGCCCTACAGATAATACCCCCTCCCCATCACTGGGCTCCTAAACTTTGCTTTTCACTTTGAAAATAGCACCGTCGTTCAGAAAACTCTGACAGTTATTTTCTCAATTATGAGTATAATTTTGGCAAGGGAAAAACACCCTGGAATAACTGAAAATGGCTGTGCTGCACTATTGTTCAAAACCATCTGTTGTTCCGTTTGCAAAATAGATTTCTGGCAGCTGCGTGGAGACATGTAGGGTTGCGTAGCTCGTAGGTCAAATAATTCATGTAAATTGGTTTCAGTCCAGCGGCCGATTGCACCTCCGATTTTCCATCTGCCGAACAAAACCCCGGGACCGCCCAGCGGCCTGGAGAGCGGCACCGTGGGCCGTGACCGAGACCGCCGCCTCAGTCCCGGGTGTGGTTGTTGGTCCCGACTGAAAACCTAAAATAAATGGGAAAGCCACCAAATGTCTTCTTAACATTTATCTTAAAAAACTGGTTCTTAAGAGAATAAAAAAGTATGCTAAATATGTATGCCTGAGCCCAGAAAATTTCTCCAGTTACACAAAAGCAATTTTTGTTGATAGGAAATTCAGAATCCTTATTTTCCCCCCCTTGAGTTTATGGAGCTTCCTGTTGTAAATCTGGTCGAGTCTCGGCTTCACCCTGGGTGCCGCACACGCAGGGCCCGGAGCTGGGCACTCTGCCACGGGTGTTCCAACAGTCCTCGGTCACGAGTCATTGGGACAGAGATAAAGCACCCAGCTGACCTGGCCATCGTTCTTGGGAAGCTATCAGAACGTAATAAACGTTTATGTAGTATAGGTGACCACGTCACTGATGGGCTCCTTGCCTCCCCCGCCTTCCTCTCTCGTTGGAAGCGCAGCCCATAAAAACGTGCTAGAGTGCAGCTTTGTCACGGGGTCGGGCTGACTCAGTTCCGTCCCTGCGGCTTCTGCCTGGACCCCTTTAATCTTGTCTGGAAGCCCATCAAGACGCTGAGGTGGAAGGGCTTTGTCTCAGCCGAGTGAGAGAGGGAGAAGCTGGCCGCGCAGGCGGTGGGGTTCCTGGGGCGTCCTGCCCCCCCCCCCCGGTGTCGGGCCCGGGTGGGGTGGGCAGAGGCCTCGGATGCCCCGGCTGGCGCTGGCGTGGGGCCCCTGGCGTGTGTCCCGGTGAGCACAGCCCCTCGCTTGCGGGGAAGATCTCTACCGACCACCACACTGTCCGCGCAGAAGGCTGAGCAGGAATAAGGAGGAAGAGCCGACCCTCTGATCTGCGTACCCAGCGCCCCCGGACTGCGGACTCGTCCCCGGGAGAGAGCGCCGTGTGGGCGAGAACCACGCACACCTTCTATGCACACCACGGGGACTCGGCCGCGCCCACCTGTGCACCGTAGAGGCCGAGGGAGTCTGAGACGGAGCTCGGGCCCTGTCCCGGAAGGTCGCCGGAAGGTCGCCGGCCCGGTGGCATCTGGAGCCAGACCGGGAAGGCCGTGAGCGAGCCCGGGGCCCTGTGGACACGGAGGTGACTGGGCCCCAAGCTCAGGGCACTGCACCTTAGAGCCCATCTCACCCCGCCTCCTGGCCTTCCAGGGGCGGGGAAGGGCAGAGAGGCGGCGGCGTTGCCCGGCAACAGAGTCAGTGGACGTGGGGGTGGGGGTGACGAGACCCCAAGAGCAGACATTCCCTCGCCTCACTCCCAGACCCTCCTTCTGCGACGACAGACGTCGCCGAGACGCAGGTGCGGGAGCCGATCAGGGTTTGGCGGCTCTAGCGCTCCCAGCCGGCTGCCGCTGGGGACAGCTGGTCTGGGTGAGGATCGCTGGGAGATGGAGGAGTTTGTATAACTCTGAGCACACCTCCCGTCACCCACCCGCCGCCCCGCCCACGGATGGCCGCGGCCCCTCGGCGGGTCTCGCCTGCAGAGCTGCGGCTGCTGTCTGAGTGTCTGCAGGGACGGACGCTGGAGGGGGCCAGGCGTCAGGACAGAGTCACGGCCGGACAGGCGCCTTCAACGGGGAATCTCCTCCAGAGACGCGGGGGCGGCCGGCGCGCTCCCGTGTTGGCCGGGAACTGGGAAACCAGACGAGGCCGCGCACGCCCAGCTTCCGTCTGGACCACACCCTCCGCCCAGGGCGCGTGGTGCGCGTCTGGCGTTCCACGTCGGGTTACCGGACCCAGACCCCGACAACCAGCTCCAGACCAGGGCGTCCTCACTCAGCGCTGCCGTCCGCGGGCCGCAGCCCCCTCGGCCTCGGCGTCGGGGCGGTCGGCCACTGACCAGACGCGGTGGTCACAGCCCCTTACGGCCTCGCGGGGTCGCTGAAGCCCGCTGTTCCTGCTCCCCGTCAGCACCACGCACAGCGGGTCACAGGGTCCCCCGAAGGAAAACGGACTCGGACTCTCCCTCTGCGAGCTCTGACACATCGAGCCGCCGTCCTGGGGAGCAGCAGAGCAAACCCACAGCCGTGTGCACAGGCCGAGCCCGGGCGCGCCGTAGCCCCCGCCGTCGGTGGAACGCAGACTCTCGTGTTGTTCGCCGGCGTTCAGAGCCGCCTCCCCACGCCCGTTCCAGGCGGACGGAAATCGGACCCCTGGTGATGGTCAGCCAGCTTTAAGTGACGTGTGACTTTCTCCCGGTCTGTGAGCCAGGGGTCCCCGCAATGCTGGACCTCTGCGTCCCCAACCACAGGGCTCTGGATGGACACGTTTGCGGTCCCCACGGGGTCAGCTCAGGAAGGCCGGGCCCTGGCATGCCAGGCCGTGGCGTGGCCCAGCCTGCAGAAGGAGAGAGGTCCTGGCGCTCGGGAGAGCGGGGCTGGAACCGGCGTGGGTGCGGACAGGCCCCAGCCGCACCAGCCTCGGTCCCCAGCCGCGCCGGGCACGCCCCCTGCGGAGGGGAGGAAGGAAGACTCCCGCTGAGTGAACGCCGACGCCCCAGGGGAGGACCACGTGCTCGCTGCCCAGTGCGGCGCGTGGGACGGGGACGGGGATGGCTGTGCTCCACTGTGAGGCCAAGGGCGCTGCCCCGCCTCCTCACGTCCGCGCTGACCCCCTCTCTGATGGGGGGAAGCGGGGGGCTGCTGTACACAAGGAGGCCCTTTATCTAAGCACCCAGATCCGCCTCCCCACGGCGGCCTGCGCGTCAGCCCGCAGAACGGGCTTAACACAGGCCCGTGTCCTCGGGAAGGCTGGGCCGGGGACGGCCCGAGTTCGGAGCGGGGCGAGGGCGGCTCTCCCGGGGAGTTCGAGCACCAGGGTCTGTGCGGGAGTGGGGGGGCTCCAGGCCGCTCCGCAAGACTTTGTTGTCCGACCTTTCACCCCCCGAGTAAAGAGGGAGGCAGAGCGGAGCAGTGAGGCCCCGATGCGCACAGCACACCCAAGGATGGGGGGTCGGCGCTGGGGGCAGCTGGCCCTCCGGTGGAAGGCAGCCGCGCCTCACAGGGGCCCCTCTCTCGGAGAGCAGGTGCTTCACGGGAGGGGCAGGCGGTGCGCAGGGACACGAGTGCAGAAGGACAAGGTGTGTTCGGCGAAGCGCTGGTATGGACTGCAGTGTAGTAACTAGCAAATCTGCACCGAGGACGGCCATTAAAAGCAGGTTCCCAGCCCTGGCTGGCGTAGCTCAGTGGATTGAGCAGGGGCTGTGAACCAAAGCATCGCAGGTTCGATTCCCTGTCAGGGCACATGCCTGGGTTGCAGGCCAGGTCCCCCAGCAACCACACATTGATGTCTCTCTCTCTCTCTCTCTCTCTCTCTCTCTCTCTCTCTCTCCCCCCCTCCCTTACCTTCCCTCTCTAAAGAAATAAATAAATAAAATCTTAAAAAAAAAAAGCAGATTCCCCTCCGAGAAGCAAAGCAGGCTTCCCAAGACCCCTCTGGGGCCTCCCGAAGGGGGCGCCCTGGGTGAGCGCCGGGAGCGGCGGGCCCGCCTCTGCTGCGCCCCCAGGAGGAGGAGGAGCGAACCCCTGTGCTCAGGGGTGAGCGCCCGAAAACGGCTGCCTGAGAACTAAACGTGAAAGGCTAGTGTCGTCGCTGTCCTGCTCCCCACGGGACGCGCAGCCCCCGCGCTGGGACCGTCCTGGGCGACGAGGCGGCAGTAGTTACATCTGCGTGAGGCCGCGGTCCCGCGCCCTGCTCTAGGTTCAGCTCCGGGCAGCCGCTGCTCTCCCCCCCCCGACCCCACCCCCCGCCTCCGGGGCAGAAGGGCCCAGCCCGGGTGTGGCGTTGGAGAGCAGAGCGCACCCCACGTGCTGTCCCCCAGAGCGCGCGCCAGGGGGCGCTGTGACCCCGCGGCCGGCGGGCCGGCAGCGTCCTCACTGTCTGCTCCCCTCCCCCCAGGCCGCCGTGGTGCCCTCCGCCCGGACCCTGAGGATCACCGACTTCGGCTTCAGCGACTTCGAGCTGTCCGACCTGGAGACGGCGCTGTGCACCATCCGCATGTTCACCGACCTCGGCCTGGTGCAGAGCTTCCAGATGAAGCACGAGGTGGGGCCGCGGCGAAGTCCTTCCGGCCTGTGCGTGTGCGTGTGTCATGTGTGGACATGTGTGTGCACGCGTGGGGTCTCTGTGTGCCACGTACCACGCATATGCAAGTAGGTCGTGGGCACTCGTGTGCCTTGTGCAGGGGTGTGTGTCGTGTGCCACCATGTATGGGCAAGTGTGTCATGTACACGTGTGTTGTGTGTGCACACGTGTGTAAGCGAATCGGTCTCGGATGGCAGCGTGAAACACGGAGAGAAGTCTCAGGGTTGCCAGCGGCGGGGGCGGGGCGCGCGAGGGCAGGAAGGCAGGAGGGGGTGGGGGAGGGGCACCGTGCGGGGGAGGGGCCGGCGGGGAAGCCAGGCATAGGGACCCTGAGCTGCTCGAGGGGCCCGGGTTCCGTCCGCGGAACATTGGTGCCGGCAGGGAGCTGCAGCAGGAAGGGGACCAGGTCACGATGCCCCCGAGCAGGGGGGACCGGAGCTGAGCGAGCTCTAGCACCGACTTGAACGCCGTCGACGACGAGTCGACGACCCCACCGGCCTCCGGGAGGCGGCGGGGCCGGAGCACAGCCTGTGCGGACGGCCCCCGCGGGCGCGGGAGAGGGGCAGGCGCCCTCTGGAGGACGGAGGCCGCTCGCTCACCTTCGACGCTGGGTGTTCTGGTCTGGTCCCGACTGTCGGGTCCAGCGGTTTTCAGGCGGGGGGCTGCAGAAGGTTCTAAACCACGCAAGGCCTGGCTGCTGAGTGGGGCCGTGCCCTCTTTTGCCGAGCAGACTGTCAAATAAAAGACGACCACAGCCACCACCACAACGGCTGGCTGGTGTGAACCAGTCCCAGCTGTACCGATTTCAGTCAGACCGGCAGAAAGCAATCCACGTTTGGTGTGCCGCGGAATGGTGTGTGTGTGTGTGCGCGTGCGCGTGTGCCCTGAGACGGGGAGGCCAAAGACCGCTGGCGTGTCTCTTGCACAGATTCCTCTCCGGAGCTTAAAAGGCGTGAGGGCCTCCCCCGTTGAGCTGTCTGCTAATTCATGAAATGCAAGTTCACTGACGTGGCCAGTGCCAGCGTCCCCTGGGACGCGCCTCACAGCGGGGGCACAGAGAGGCCTGGAGGGAGGAGGGCGGGCACCCAGGCACCCACTCGCCGCTGGAACCCCCACGAGCAGTTTCCGTCCCCGCAGGGAACCTGCAGCTTCCCGGACTGAGGTCTGCAGCTGGTGCGCGGCGGGAGCTAGTGACTCGACGTGGCGCCCGCCCCCTCCCCCGAGCACTCCCTCCGGTCCCCGGGGCCTGCCCTCTGGGTCTGGAGCGTCTCCAGAGACGTGTGAAGGGACAGGCACCTGCCTGTGGCACAGACCCCCGGAGTGCAGGGCGTGCGGGGTGGGGAGGAGGCAGCTTGGAGGCGGACACGCCCGCAGAGCCGCACTGAGGGACCACGGTTCCTGGGGTTCCCGGGAACACGCACCCCACTCGGAAGGGGACTCCGCCCCAGCGTCTGAGACTTCCTCCGAAGTCTGTCCTTCTTTCGTTCCATCTTTAAAGCATGTTTTCTCCCCATGGACCTCGGGGCTTTGTTCTGCATATAGTGTTTGTTAAGTTACTTCTTGGTACCCGAGCAGTGGCCCTGCCTGACGTTTAAGCACAGTTCGAAGGGCACGGGGAGCCCGCTCGTGCGTCAGGGCTGGGAGCCCCCCTTCGGACCGGCGCTCTCCCCCTTGTCCCCCCGCCCCCCCCCCGCTAGGCCCTGAGCCCTCCCCAAACACCTTCACAGACAAACAGCTGGAGCCCGAGGGGGCGTGCCGGCGGCTGCTTGCACGGCTCTTTCTCTGAGAGGGAGTCCGTGCACGTGGGGTTCCCCACGTGGACTCTCCCCACGGTGACACTCGGACGTCGATTCTTTCAAAAGGCTCGCAGGTGCTCCCCAACACCCCCAACACCTTTCTTAGAGCCGTCTGGCGTTTCACCTCCAGCTCAGCCAGTGTAGGGGGTGGGGGCGCAGGCCGTGCCCAGAGTCGGGCTGTCCAAGGGGGATCTCGGCCCGACCCTGTAGGAGGAGCCCCAGGCCCCCGAGTGCGTTCCTTCCCCGCGTGCCAGCGTCCTCGTCCGTGAACGGGTCTAGTCGGTGGAATCTGGTGCCCGCCCCAGAGGCGGGAGTCGGGAGGGCTCGACGTGCACCAGCGCGACTCGGTTCTGCGGCGGCGGCGGCCGTGAGCGGCCCTCGTGACCCCGTGTGCTCCCCCCGCCCCCCCGCAGGTCCTCTGCAGGTGGATTCTAAGCGTCAAGAAGAACTACCGGAAGAATGTCGCCTACCACAACTGGAGACACGCCTTCAACACGGCGCAGTGCATGTTCGCCGCCCTGACGGCGGGCAGAATCCAGGTACTCCGGGGGCCGCGTACGCGTCCGGGGCTCTCTGTGGCTTCGCCGGTGAAACGCACAGCACATCGCCCCCCGCCCCCCAGTTTGTCTGACGTGCCCCCAGGGACGGTGGAGGGTGACACTGACGGCCAGTCACAGAACCAGTGACACTTCGGGGAAAGGAGGCAGGACGGCAGGACACTTAGTGGCTACCTTTCTTTCAGCTCTAGTGCACACGGCGTGTTCGAATGGTCTGTAAACAACTTCACGTGCAATTTAAATGGTACTTGGGCAAATAAGTATTTCCTCTGGGGTAAGATGCCACAGTGTAACAAAAAGTATCCCATGCCTCAGGGTCACGTCCAACCCGCTCCACAGGAGAACCCCTCAGAACCCCGCAGGCCCTGGGCCCGGCCCCCTGGGCACGCCAGGGCTCTGGGCTGTGGTGTCTCTCCGGCGGCAGCCCGCTGGTTTCACAAGTGCAGGGGCCGGACCCTGCTCACGGCAAGACTGCAGCAGAACACGTTCGGGTGGTTCGCCCCCTCCCAGGCCACACTGTACGCACAGCCCTGGCCTTGGGTTTGAGCTTCAGTGGGGACCCACAGGTCATTCTAAGTGAACGATGCCAGGCATCCATCACATCATTTTTTTTAATTTTTATTTATTTTTTAGAGAGGAAGGGAGAGAGAAACATCAATGTGTGGTTGCCTCTCGCACGCCCCCTACTGGGGACCTAGCCCACAACCTGGGCCTGTGCCCTGACTGGGAATTGAACCAGCAACCCTGATCACATACTTTTTTAAAATTCGGAGCTTCCATGATTTTTTAAATTACTGAATTCTAAAACTCTCCTCCTCTGCCTCTGCCTCCATCGGGGGCTCAGCTAGCAGCGGGGGCCAGAGCCGACATCTATAAGACACAGGCTGCCCTCATGTCGGGGCCTGGCGAAGTCACGCGGACCAAACCCCAGAAAGCCGTCCTGGCTTCTGTGCAGACAACACACGCTGGTTCCGAGTGTGTTGCGAACACGCTATTCAGAGCCTGAGAACTCCCGCAGGGTGGAGCTGAGAACTCCCACGTGCGTTTTCTCTCTCGGAAGAACAGGAGGGTAGACCACACAAATGGCAGCCACCCTTCTGCCAGAACGACTCTGTGACTGGCTCTGGCTCTGGCTCTGGCCTGGACTGCGCAGTTTTAGAGCCAGAGGCTCACCCCGGCTCCCTCCGGTGTGCCGTTTGCTGGGCAGCCGCACTGTGGGCCAGCCTCCGGGCTCAGCCCCGGGGCGGGGGGAGAGCCCTAGGGGCCGCAGGGAGCACGAGGTCAGAGAGGGCACGGCCACCCCCAGTTCACCCCGACTGCTCCGGTACGCGCGTGGGTCATCAGGAATGAGGGGCGTTCTCTGGGGTGGGCAGGTGAGCGGCAGAGGCCTCGCAGCCTTTCCTGTCAATACGTGACGTTTGCGGTCACCCCGTTCTGAAGACACGCAGCGCAGCTGCTTCCCGCAGGGCAGGGCGTCCGCACGCTCCCCCCCACGCCCCCCCCTCCGCCGTGGCGGGGAACTGGCCCGTGTGTGCGGCCCGGAGAAAAACCCAGGAGACCAGGCAGAGGCGGCCCGGCCCCTGACCAGCCCCCTCTGTCTCTCCTGGCCCGCGTCGGCCGCGCAGAGCAAGCTGTCGGACCTGGAGGTGCTCGCCCTGCTGATCGCCGCGCTCAGCCACGACCTGGACCACCGCGGCGTGAACAACGCCTACATCCAGCGGTGAGGCGGCCGGGCCGGCACAGGCTGGGCTGCTGCCCTGCGGGGGGGGCGGGGGGGGGCTCTTCAGAGCAGAGGCCACACCTGTGACGCCCGGTGCCAGCTCTCAGCGGGCCAGGCCCCGCCACACGCTCTGGCTGTGTTTAAGGCAAAGAGAAAAAATCGTGTGGGTCCAGCACGGGGTCGGTAACACTTCTGGCCTGAAGTTAAACACATGTACATTGAGAATCTGATTTCATGGGGCAATTGCCAGGAGTTTCACATGAGGCCGAACTTCACGGCTTCCCGGAAAAGAGCGCAGGCCGGCTCGGAGGGGCAGTGCTTTTCCTGACGGGACAGGCGGGGCTTGGCTGGACGCTGGAGCCCGGCCAGCACTCGGCGGGAGGCGGGGTTTCGTTCGGTCGTGGTGCAGGGGCCGTGCGTCCCGCAGGGCTGGGGACTCCGGGCTCTGCGTCCGACCTGGGTTCACACCCTCCCTCTCCCGGGCTCTGGTGCGGCCTCGGCTGGGGTGCCAGTCTCTCTGCACCTCGTCTCCCCGATCTGTCGGTGGAACTGAGGCGGCAGTGCGCCTGCCCTGCAGGGCCGATGCGGGCTGCAAGGGCCAGTGCCCGTCCGTGCCCCGTGAAGCGGCCAGTACCTGCTTAAGTGTCGAGGAAGTCTCAGCAGCAGAGGCTGCGACGCTCCCACCTGCAGCAGCCTGCCCTGGGGCGTGCCCCTGCCTGGGATCCCGGGGGGTGGGGGGCAGGAACCGCCCCCACCTCGCCCCAGAGTGTGGGGCCAAGCGCTGCACCCCACACAGGCCGCGGTGCTCTGGAGAAACCATATGAAGTAGACAGCGAGGCTGCTGTCCACCAGCCCCCAGACTCCTGTGGCCACGGGTGACCGCCACACTCCAGGCTGCAGGGGCACGAGCAGGGACCCCGTGAGCAGCAGCTGGGAGGGCAGACCCTGTGGGCAGAGCAGTGCCCGGTGCCTTCTGAGGGCCCCTGTGGGGCGGTCGGCCCACGGGGCAGTGCCCGGGGCCAGGGGTGGGACTGAGGGACGCCGTGTGCCTCTGGGCGGGGACGGTGGGCGCCATCGGGACACAGCCGGAGCCGAGTGGGGAGGCTCACAAGCCCACCCACTGTGGTGACGGGCTAGGAGACAGCCGCACCTGGCGGGATGAGACGGCACTAAACGGACACCTCAGGTCTGGGAGCCCCTCATGCGCACAGAGGGACGGGCTCCGGCAGGGTGTCCTTGTGCCGGGGAAGGGGAGGGCCGGGCGGCAGGGGGCACGCTGGAGCTCACATTAGCCCCTGAGGTCTGCGTGGTGCGAAGATGCTGTCAGGGGGCCGGATGACCGGTCCTGCTGTCCTCGGCCGTCCCCCTGGGCCCCCTCCCCTCCCTGCCGGCCTGGATGCCATCTGCAGGTCGGCGGGTCCTGAGCTCAGACATTCACGTGCACCTCCACCCAGCCGGGCGCCCCTCCCGTTCCCCCCGGTTCCGGCCGGAGAGCTCCACGGGCGGAGATGCCTGGGTCCCCCGTGGGGACCTGCCCCCCCGCCCTGCCTCCTGCCACCGCCTCCCGGTGGAGTCCACCTCAGGCTCAAGGGCCGCCTGCCCTTCAGCCCTATTCCACAGGGAGGGCCCGCGTGGGTGTTTCGGATTCTAAACTAGTTACAGTCTGCAGTCGAACAGTGTCCCTGGCACAACTATCTCAGAGGCGTTCTCCCGCCTGGAGAAGTCCGTGCTTTGTCCGCACTCCCGCTGACAGAGCCCACGGGAGAGTCCCTGCTTGGAGCCGGCGTCTGGAGCCAGCTCGGCTCTGCGTGCTCAGTCCCTGGAGGTCACCCCTCTCTCTCTTCCCAGCAAAAGAGGGGCCAGGGCAAGCGGTTGGCTCCCTGCGTCTGTGAAGTAGCCTCTTGTTTGGCTGACCGGCGAGGAGGAGGAGTCAGGGGGCTGGCCCGTGGAGGGGCGCGGTCCTGTCCTCTGAGCCCCTGTCTCCCGGCCCCGGTCCCCCCAGGAGCGAGCACCCGCTGGCCCAGCTGTACTGCCACTCGACCCTGGAGCACCACCACTTCGACCAGTGCCTGATGGTCCTCAACAGCCCGGTGAGCGCCGGCCGCCAGGGGGCGCCCGAGGTTCCCTTGTCCTGTTCAGTCCTGGGTCTGGGCCCAGGGTCATCGTCCTGAGCTTGACTCCCTTGACTCCCGGGGTGGGCGAGGAAGGTGGCGCCGACCCCTGGCGGGTGTGGTGCCTTTCGGTGTTACCTGCGGGCCCTGCCCCACCCTCCTGTGCCAGCCGGAGCCTGCGGAGCGCACCCGGCTGGCCACGTGAAGTCAGCACTGCAAACAGGTGTGCCCAGACGTTGCTGGACGTGTCACAAAAGCCACAGAGAAAGGATTTTTTAGCACTCAATCGTTTAAAAGTTTCACAGCTCCGTTCTTTATGAATGGGGCCTTGATTTTTCCAAGTTCCACCTTCGGTCAGCATGCAGGCATGACCACGCCCCAGGCTCCGGGGTCAGGGCGCAGGCCCGGACCGCGGCCGGAGGAGCGGCCGGCTGGCGAGCAGGCCTGAGCCGGCAGCCGCGCCCTGCGAAGCCGCTTCTCTCCCGGGGGACGGCAGTGGGGGCAGGGCGGGCGGCTCGCTGTGTGCGGCGGTGGAGGCCGGCGGGTGCCCCCGCCCGCAGAGCCCGGAGCGCGGGGCCTGCGTCTGTCCGAGTCGGCAGCTCCCCCGCGGGGCAGGCGCGCACCGACGCCGGTTGTCTGTCCCCCCGAAGGGCAACCAGATCCTCAGCGGCCTGTCCATCGAGGAGTACAAGACCGCGCTGAGAATAATCAAGCAGGCGATCTTAGCCACGGACCTGGCGCTCTACATCAAGTGAGTGCCGGGCAACAGCCACAGCCGGCGGCGAGTGGGTGTCGGAGCCGCCGCGTCTCAGGCTGCGCGAGTGTCCGCGCCGAGACCGCAGGGCACGCGTCCGGGCAAAGCTGCCCGCGGACGGCGGACGGCGGACGGCGGACGGCGGACAGCTCCGCGGAGGGGAAACGTGGGCCTTCGGGGTGGCTGGCCCGGGACTCGGCATGTGCGTCCGCGTGTGACGCGTGTGCCCGTCCGGGGTGCACGTGGGCCTGGGGTCCCTGCGGCGGGTGGGGCGCGGGGCGGAACACTGACGGCTGGGGGGGGTTCCCCGGAACCCGTGGCCCCACACCCCCCAGTCCCCAGGGTCACTCATCGGAAGGTACGGGCCTTCAAAGCCCCCGCTTCTCTGAACACGGGCGGGGGGGTACTTTAAAGTCGGGGAGGATCGCAGAAAAGTCAGTAAACTTCGGCTGATTCAAAACGATCGCCGAATACAGATGATCAAATCAGCGAGCCCTTGACAAGCACCCGGAACCCCAAAGCCTTCCCAACCTTTCCCGGGCGGGGTGGGGCCTCTCCTCCGAACCCCCCCCCCCGCAGGCCCGCGTTTCCGTCTGGGGGCTCCGTCACCTGCGGCCCGTTCCATTCCGTTTCCCCATGTCTCCGGTGGGTCCAGCGCCTCTGACCCCCGGCGCCGCCTGCGGACAGTGCTGGGCCCGCGGGCGGTCGGCAGGGGGCGCCCGAGGAGCGCTGTCCCCGGTGCTCTGAGTCTGTCTGTGCTTCCGCAGCAGGGCGCAGCGCTGGACAGACACGGCGCAAGTGTCACGACCTCTCTCTCTACCCGTGTCATAACCCACCGGAGTTATCTGAAATCCGGCTGTAACCACACAGAGTTTCTTAGGCCGTGCACTTAAAATGTCTTGCGTCGGTCTCAGCACCACATTCCTAATTCGCGCTGTTTCATTTACTTGGAATCTCGGGCGAGAGCTGAGATGTCCGTTGTTGGGGCGTGGTACTAGGTGACCCCCAACGTGCCACCCACAGGAAGGGGTGGGAGGAGGAGCCGTGAGCTGCTCACGGTTTTGAAGGACGACCTCTGTGTCGGCCTCTAAGGCGAGTAAAAACCGTTAGAGATTCCCCCCCCCCAAAGTGAGTCCATGATTCTTTGTAGGACAAGGGGTAAGGTAAGTACCTAGGGACGCCTGCCTCCTAACCACCAGCTACTTCTCTTTGTTTTCAAGGCGGCGAGGAGAGTTTTTTGAACTTATAAGAAAAAACCAGTTCAGTTTCGAAGACCCTCACCAAAAGGAGCTGTTTTTGTGAGTAGCGTGGCCCTGTGGGCGGCTGCCGCTCTGCTCCCTGATGGGCCGTGTCCCTGCGGGTTTCACCGCGGCCACTGGCCCCAGCGCAGTGACCCTAGAGGCCGCCAGGATGTTCCAGGGTCGCACCAAGGGCCGGCCACGAACGGGCAATAGACATGCCGTTGCAAGTTCAAGTGCATAAGCCACTCCTTTGTGCTAGAAGCAACGTTCCAATGTGGTAGAGCATCGGTAACCAGCTCTAGGGTTCCCGTGTTTGGGTCCCCAAATCTTTGGAGCCAAAGAGCAGCGGGGGCATCCCGAGGGCCTGGGTGTGGGGGGCTGGTGGCGAGGGCTTCCTGCCCTGGAGCTGGGATGGCTGAGTCGGATGGTCAGGGCAGGGCCCTCCCAGGCGGGCTCCTGCTCCGCCCACCCCTGCTGTCCCGCCCACTGTGAGCATCATCCTGCCCTGCGCTGTTACCATGGCTACCTTCGCGGGGCCAGACCTGCATCCCTAGGAAAGAGCAAAGAGGCCGAGGCAGGACGTGGCGATGCTGGGACCGTGCGCTCCCTGACGCACTGTCCCTGCTTGGCGTGCAGCTGCACTCGGCAGCGAGGCAGCGATGCCCAGGCCCCCGCGGTCGGCTCCAAGGCCGCGCCGCAGACCACAGCCTCCGCGCGGTCCCCAGAGCGGGCCCCGGAGAAGTGTGGGCACGCGCTGTGCCGGGTGGGCTCCAGCCGGCCCTGCTCACCAACCCAAGGGAAACCGGACCCAGCACCAAGGCCGGGCGTGGCCCTCGGGCTCTCCCCCTGTGGCCGCGCAGTCTCGGGGTCACTTGCCGTCACCTCCCGAGTGCCTCACTTTGCGGGCGGCGGGGGTCCGGCGCACAGAGTGCAGTGTGCCCTGCGTGGGGGCGGCCGGTGCGGGGAGAACTCCCGAGACCCCTGGTGACGGTGGGTCCACACCGTGACGGCGCTGCCTGGGGCCCAGGGTGCTCGCCAGAGGTGGGGCAGAGGGTGCCAGAGGCGCAGAGCGGCAGGCGGCCGTCGTCTCTGTGGCCGTCCGTCCTTGGGGAACCAGGGCTCCCGGCTGGGCCTCCCTGCGGGGACCGGGGGCGCAGCCCTCCCCCCGAGTGTCCCCGTAGCACCACAAGGGCCTTCCTGCCGCTCCTCCCAATGAACTGAGAGGACAAGGTGGCAGGTGCTTGTGTCGGACATGGAAAACTCCACACTCAGGAGGGCACCGTGTGCACGCCGTGGTCTCGGTGCTGCGTCCCGGAGAGCGCGGTCCTCCCGGCTGCTCTTGCAGACACCGGCCCATGATTTCGGGTCCCCGAGTGTGGGAGGGAGTCGCACGGCCCCCTCCTGCCCGCTGGGCCAGGACCTCGGGCAATGGGACACGTTGCCATTTCATGGTCAGTCACTAGCGATGTGTGTTCTCATCTCTCCTTCACCATCCGGCTGCAGGAGGCGGCGTGCGGGCAGCGGCTCCCTGCTTAACCTGGCCTCGGCCCCTGGCTCTCACGGGTCAGCCGCGTGTCTGCGCCTGTCCTGTCCCTGTGTCTGTTGTCTTCACAGACGTCCATCCCCGGGGGTCGAGGGCTGGAATTCGGCTTCTCCCCTCGCAACGGTTTCCTGGGGGCGGTGCTCCCACCAGAGTAACGGGGCCGTGGGGCCGCTCTCTCCCCGACAGGGCGATGCTGATGACCGCCTGCGACCTCTCCGCCATCACGAAGCCCTGGCCCATCCAGCAGCGGGTAGGTGGCTCTCTCGGCGAACACGCTCACTGCGCAGTTACCACGGGAGAGGTCTGTGCTCTGGGGGGCAGCCCCGGAAGTGCTGGTGGAACTCGCTGTCTGATTTTCCAGTAGTACCAAAAGCAGATAAGGGGACACACAAATTTCCTCCTGGAGACCCGCTAGCACCCTGTAGTATTTGTGACGTGCACTGAGAAAGAGAACACCCCTGTTAACGCAGCAAACCCCTAGCGGCGGGTGAGTTCTGCGCGGGGAAGTCTGGCTTCTGGCCCCCTCAGGGGTGTTTTCAGCACCCCCTTTAATAATGGGACGGGGGAGAGCCTGGGTTTCCACCTTTCCTTCCCGTCTCCCCGTCCGGGCCCCGCCGTGAACACCCGCACTGAGGTCAGCACCGCGGGGCAGCAGCGGTCAGCAGAGCTGGTGTGGGGGACGGGCCAGCGGAGGGTAACAGGACGCTGGACGCGCCGTAGAACACTGAGTGGCGTTCAAAACAAGCGGGCGAAGGCAGGCGTCTCACTAGGCCACGTTAGGACGATCTCCCTCCCTGCGGACAGACAGCGGAAGGCGGAGCCGGGCCTGCCCTGCGAGCCGGAATCCCAAGCGGGGCCGAGGGCGCCGTGCAAAGAGTCAAACCGTCCGAGCACCAAGCGGACACAGGTGTGTGCGTTCCTCTGCGACCCAGGACTGAGAGAACCTCCTGACTATGGCTCAGCACGCAAACACGGAAGAGGAAAAGCCCAATACGTTCGATTCCATAACAAGGAAAAAATCAGGAAAACTGTTGCATGACAAAGACATGAGAAGCAAAAAGTACAAGGCCACGGTGAACTGGTGAAAGGAATCGCAACTTCTGTCTGATAGTTAATCCCCCTAATGTCACAGAACCAAAAACTGGAGAAGAAAAAGGCCAATAACTCTACAGAAAAGTGGGCCAAAGGCTCCAACAAAAATTCACAGAAAAATACGAACGACTGCTGCTCATTTGAAGAGCTCTCAGAACCTCAATCCCCAGAAAAAATACAAGTTAAAATGACACCCACACACACACAAAGCTTGTACCAAATCCTGTGACAGCTTTGCTCCCGACAGTCAGAAACTGGGCACCTCCCTCCTGGGGAGGGAGGGGCGGGGCCGAGGCGCAGAGGCGGGGGCGGGAGCTGCCTGGAGGGCCTTGCTCTGCAGATGCGGCTTCGGGGCGTGGAAGCGGCGCTCACGATCCCGGAAGAACGCTGGGTGTTCCCAACAGCGCTGAGCCCGGGGAGCAGGGGAAGCAGGGGAAGCAGACCCGGCCGTGGCTGAGAGACCACCCCGAGAAGGGCGGGTGCACCCCAGGGGACATCAGCACGACGACGAGACCACGTATCTGCAGGGGGACGCGCCTTAAAAACAGAAAGAACCGTCAAGAAAAGCCCTCAGTGCTGTTTCCAGGGATCGCACCGTCCGCGGTGATGCGGCCTGGGCATCGGGCCCCTGTCGCGTGTGACGTGGGGTGAGAGCACCCGAGAGGTGCCGCTGGGGCCGGTGGGGGCTGGGACTCTGCACGCGAGCGCAGACCAGGCCCGGGGGGTCAGCGTCAGGTGGGACCCCAGGGTGTCCTGGTGGGAATGGAAACACCGCACAAGTGTGTGCCGTGTCCCGGCCCCAGCCCTGGGGAGGCCCCCCGGAACCACCGGCGTGGTGCGCGAACGCACCTGGTGCCCGGCCGCGCGGAGGGGCGGGCAGGCGCCGGCAGGAGACGCTGGTGCCGGTCCCAGGCGAGTAGCACGCAGGTGGGCCCAGAGCAGCTGGTGCCGCAGCAGGTGCGGAGGTGCGCCCCCCCCCCACCCCCACGGGCTGGGACGGAACAGCGTGAGCACCCGCGGGGGTCGCAACGCACTGCACACGTTCTAGTGTGCGAGTTCGAGGTAACACTGAAGACAACCAAACAAAGCCTTCCCTGGTCGTCTTGGGAGGGCGCTCTGGCGGAGACCCACGTCATGTCTTTTAAATGTTAGTTAATGTGGAGAAGATCACGAGTTTCTCTTGCTTTTTTTTTAACCAGTTGTACTGTAGGGCACTAAATACGTAACTTTCGATTTATTGCATTTCAACTAACAACGGGAAAAGGAATGACTGGTTTGTCCCGAATCTCCGCGTCTGCAGCCCCCGAGTCACCGGGTCTAGACAGAGATCATTCACGGTGGCTAAGGCCCCAAACAGCGTCAGCCAGGCCTTGCGGAGCCCCCACCGGCGGCAGCGGCACTGCCCGTGCGGTAGTCGGTAGTCGTGGCGCAAACACAAACGAAAACAAGCCCAGTCTCCACCCAGCCCAGCTCCCCACCCCAGTGCCGGTGCCGCGTGGAGAACCGCCCAGAGACTCTCCCTGAGGGCAGAGAGAGAGAAGGGGCCAACCCAGACGGGGAGATGGGGGTGGGGACCACAGGGCGGGCGACCCAGCTTATGCAGCCGGATCGGGGCAGAGCGTAAAGGAAGGTGTTCGGAGAGAGGAGAGAGGGCCCCGGAGATGGAGAGGCACAAGGCCTGCGAGTCCCTTGCAGCGCAGGCGCCGAGTTGAGCTTTCTCAGGGCTCCAGGTGTGACCGGGGCTCAGGTGCTGTCTCCCTGGATGATGGATGCGTGCGGGGGGCGCCGGAGGGGGAACGCTCTGCCGCCTTCTGCCGTGCACACAGACCACAGACTCTGGCCTTCGTAGGGAGTTAGGCCCACGCCCCGGTCCCCGTTCTGCTCCGGTTTGCCGGAGGTGCAGGGAAGCTACAGATGCGATGGGTTTCACCGTCTCCGGTCACAGCCCCCTCGCAGGGCGATGCGCTTCCCGGCACCAGCCCGCCACCTGTTGTGTTGCAGATAGCCGAGCTGGTGGCGGCCGAGTTCTTCGACCAAGGGGACAAGGAGAGGAGGGAGCTCCACATCGAGCCTGACGTGAGTGTGAGCCAGTGGGCGGGGCTCACTCAGGCGATCGCGCAAACGCGTCGGGGGGTGCACTGCTTCACGGGTGTCACCGAGGACACTCCTCAGAAACACAGCTTCTTCTCACTGTGCTTCTCATCACATTGTGCCTACTCTCCTGTGACTGCTCCTTCCATTTAAGTATCACATGCTGCTTCTCGTGCCGACAGATGTCCCGCTGCGTGTCCGTGATTCCGCACACTCACGCAAACGTGTCCCTGTAACCCCCCCACCCCGCTGCCTTTCCTGTAGCACTGGCCCTGCTCGCTCTTCGCAGCGGCACTGCGATAAACCGCGCGTTGCTGACGTGTCCGTCACCTCCTCGGGGTGAACGCCCAGGACTGCCGGGGACGGGCACGCGGGTGCTGAGGGGCTCCCTCACGCGACCTGCCCCCTGTATGCCCTCTGTGTGGGGACCGAGCCGCGGTGGCCTGTGGCCTCGGCGCCCTCTTCTGAGGGTGTTCGGTTCCGCGAGGGCGGACGGGTTGGAGCCTGTGTGGCGTCCAGGGACAGGTCAGTGGCTGGCTCTGCGTCGGCCGTGGACTTGAGGTCAGAGGTTGACTGCGGGTGAGGGGTGGAGTTTAGGCAAGGTCGCCGATGGACTCTCGGTCAGTGGTCAGCTCTGGCCGGTGGTCAGCTCCCGGCGATGTGGGGGGCGCCCCAGCCAGGACAGCCGAGACAACAGGGGCTCGCAGTGCCGGCGGCAGTGCGGGAGGCCGGGGCAGGTGAGCGGGTTGCAGGCTCCCCCGGCCGGCCCGGCGACCGGCCTTCCTGGGGCCGGCGAGCCCCGCGCTCTGTCCCTGACCGCCGGTGTGTGAGCGTGGGCTCCCGCGCTTGTGTTCCAGGACCTCATGAACAGGGAGAAGAAGAACAAGATCCCGAGCATGCAAGTGGGCTTCATCGACGCCATCTGCCTGCAGCTGTACGAGGTATCTCCACGGCAGCCGCGGGTGTGCCGCGCTCGGGCGGGCAGTTACGGAGCGAAACCGCGAGTGAAGCGAAGTGACTGGCGTTAGGCGCTGGTGTTTATCGTTTCTTCTGCCGGTGCACAGGCTGTGTGCAGGGAACAGGGGACTTGTTCTGTGTTTACTCACACACGGTCACGCCTCAAAGCGTAGCCGCCTGCTGTGCGCGCTGGGCCTGCACGGGCGCGGGGACCGTCCCTGGCGGGTGGGGGGGCGCTGGGCACAGGCGAGTCAGCACCCGCTTTTCAAGTGGAAGCTTTGGACCAAAGAAAGGAAACTGTCCAGCCCCCTCCCACTGAGGACCGCAGCTTTGATGTTGCTAACAAAGCTTCCCACGGGGATGAAAGGGAGCGGCCAGGAGCGTCCTGCACGTCCGGTCTCCACACACCTGCTGGCCCGGGGTTTGTGTCCCCGAGTTGCAGCTCTGTCCCAGAGACACCCAGTCCGCTCGTTCAGATGTTGGTGCTCTGAGCACGGGGGAGAGGTGCTGTCCTTGTCTTTAGAAGGTCAGACGGGAAACTGTCTAGGTTTCGTTTGGAAAAGGGCATTTCTCCTGGTGCCATCACAGAAGGTCAAGGCCAAAAGCAGCCCCCAGCCTCGGACCTGGGTCTGTGAGGCTCACCTCCCGGGACGTGGGGCTCTGCCCCAGTCGGGCAGGCGCATGGACCGCCCTTCTCACCCCAGGAATTTCTCAACAAAGCTGGGGCCACTGAGCGGGAGGGGAGGGGAGGGCAGGAAGGGGAGGAGGGAGGAGCACGGGTGTGCCGCAGGGACAGCGAGAGTCCCGCTGTGTCAGGTCCATTGTCCCCCCCCTCGCACAGCAGGGCCCAGAGCGCTGCCTCCCGCACCCCCAAGTTTCTGCTCGTCCACGCAGGCTCGCTCTCCAGGCTAAGAACTCCTCGGTTCCAGGTGCTGGCGAGTCCCCTGATTTCCCCCCGAGCCAGGAGAGCGCAGTCAAAACCGCAGACCCCGTGCCGGGGCCCCTCCCCCACGTGCACCTGTGCGCAGACCCCCGTGCCGGGGCCCCTCCCCCACGTGCACCTGTGCGCAGACCCCCGTGCCGGGGCCCCTCTCCTCCCCCACGTGCACCTGTGCGCAGACCCCCGTGCCGGGGCCCCTCTCCTCCCCCCAGGTGCACCTGTGCGCAGACCCCCGTGCCGGGGCCCCTCTCCTCCCCCAGGTGCACCTCTGCGCAGACCCCCGTGCGGGGGCCCCTCTCCTCCCCCCACGTGCACCTGTGCGCAGACCCCCGTGCCGGGGCCCCTCTCCTCCCCCAGGTGCACCTGTGTGCAGACCCCCGTGCCGGGAACCCTCTCCTCCCCCAGGTGCACCTGTGCGCAGACCCCCGTGCCGGGGCCCCTCTCCTCCCCCAGGTGCACCTGTGCGCAGACCCCCGTGCCGGGGCCCCTCTCCTCCCCCCACGTGCACCTGTGCGCAGACCCCCGTGCCGGGGCCCCTCTCCTCCCCCAGGTGCACCTGTGCGCAGACCCCCGTGCCGGGGCCCCCTCTCCCCCCCCCCACGTGCACCTGTGCGCAGACCCCCGTGCCGGGGCCCCTCTCCTCCCCCCCACGTGCACCTGTGCGCAGACCCCCGTGCCGGGGCCCCTCTCCTCCTCCAGGTGCACCTGTGCGCAGGGCTCCACTCCTCGGCCCCGCTCCTAAATGCTATGCGTCCAGGTGCATACGCTTACTGTTATCCGTTACAGAATAATATTCTCACCGAGTGAGAATGAGGAGAAGCGAAAGGCAGATAGAACGACCTATGATTCCACTGCTGTTAACCTAAAAGACCAGAGTGAACTTCTGGAGGGGGCCCCTTGTAGGACAGCCCCCCCCCCGCACCCGGGGGAATGTTCTAGGAAGCCATCTGTGTCAGAGCGTCAGCAGGCGTTGCTGTGAGACGCTGCGTGGGTCTCTGGGATGGTGGTGAACTGTTTTTGAAGACTCTTGATGCTTCACGATGAGTGATTTATGGGCGCCCCCGCCCACACTGAGTGAGCGTTCAGCAGCTTTTGACCAAAACAGCGTGAGCCCATGCCCCACCCTCCTGTTCACCCGACTCGCCCCAAGTGACTTTTTGTTTGTTTCCCCGGATGAAAAAGTCCTCAGAGGGAAACATTTTGCCCATGTGTAAGAAGTGAAACAAAAATGGCAGAAGCACTAAAAGGCATCAAAATTAATGAGCTCAGAAACTGTTTTGAGCAGTGGAAAAAACACCTGGGCAGGTGTATTGCATCGGATGGAGAGTACTTTTAAGGTGACTGAAGTGTAAACACGTAAGAATAGATACACAATTTTTCATAGTTCCAGTTTGGGAGGCCCCCCAGCACACACTCTGACATTTTCATATTTTTCATTTTATGGGCATTGCTTGCTGCAGCCCAGAAGGCCTCGCAGCGCACACCTTTCTGTGCAAACCGTGCCCGCAGCAAAGACTGCAGACCAGCTCCGCAGACCACCACCCCCCCAGTCCCCCCCCACCCCGGTGTGGGGCCTGTAACTCAGTGTTTCTCTGTTACAAAGGAAGCCGCAGTGAACTTCCTTCATCTCAGTATGTACAGCACTACAGTTGCTAAATAGTAACGCCACGAAGCGTTATGAATTGATCTGTACTGGGATCTTGGATTAAAAAAATCGATTCCAGCGCATGGCACGAACCCCTTTTACGGAAAAGCGCGAAAGCCACGGCGGCGGGTCCAGTGGCGCGGAGGGAGACACGTCTGCGCCGGTAGAAGGCGGAACGTGCGGTCCCCCCGCCGAGCGGCTCTCGCAGGCCTGGCGCCCCCTTTCTGCGGGGCGGCTGCGTGGCCTGGGCGGCGGGGGCGGCCCCAGCCTCCCAGCAGCTCCCTCTGTCTCGCGCCCTCCCCGCAGGCCCTGACCCACGTGTCCCAGGACTGCTTCCCGCTGCTGGACGGCTGCAGGAAGAACCGGCAGAAGTGGCAGGCCCTGGCCGAGCAGCAGGAGAAGAACCGGGGGAACGGGGCCGGCGGCCGGGCCCCGCAGAGTTGACGCCCGCGGGCCGCGCGCCCTGCCCCGCCGGACGCTGCACGGCTGGGTGGGTCCCCTCCGGCGCGGTACGGGTGTTTTTTGCACAGCTTTTGAGCGCACAGCGGCAACTGCTGTTCTCCGGGCGGTTCCTCCTCTCCGCTGTCTGGGTTTGGCGCCACCGAGCGGAGGGCGCAGGTGGCCCGCAGTCCGCAGGGGTCTGCGCGCTGGCAGTGCGGGCTGCGTTCTTGCCCTCGGGAATTTTCAGAAATGAGTTTTGTGGGTTTGGAACTGCCCGTCTTTCATGAATGTCTAGAATCTCTTCTTTAAAATAGGTTAGGAGAACACTGAATGTATTCTGGGACGTTTGAAACCTTCGTAGGACAGGGGAAATTGAAGGCGGAGGGGATTTAAGGGGAAGAAGGATCTTTGTCCACAACGTATTGTGTTGACAAAGCAGCTAAAACTCGAAGCAAACGGGAAGCACTACGAGGCGGTACTCTAAAGCAAAGCTGTTTCATCGGTCGCCGCTGACTCGTCAAGGGGCAGGGGTGACCCTGAGATGCAGGCAGTGGTCAGTGGCTCTGCCCCCCTTCACCCAGTTCCCTCCAGTGCAGGAGTGGGCGTGCGTGCGCCCCTGCACCCAGGCCGCCCGGGGCGGGGAAGCAGAGGAGGCAGCAGGCGGCTGCTTCTGGACAGGGAAACCCGCCCCAGATGCATGGACATGTGGGGCTGGAGCAGGGACACGGGCGTTTGCTCAATTTGTTAACCAACCCCCCCCCCCGCCAAAAAAAGTTTCTGAGCTTCTGTCACGGGCCGGACAGAGCAACTCGGGGGGGTGTGGAGATGCAGTGTCAGAAAAGGCCTTCCACTAAAACACGTTTCCATTTGTATCTTTTTTTTTTCCCTAAACTTCCTGAAATCCAACGTGCTTCTTAAGTGTTTGAGATTCTGGGTGTGTATGTGTATCTTGAGATACTGTGTCTTTGTTCTTGCCATTCAGGTAAAAAAAAAAAAAAAAGGCAGAACCACGTGTGTGGCCCTCACTGTGCGGTGAGCGCGGCCAGCCCCGGAAGTCACCGCCCGCGAAGGCTGCGTGGGATTGTCACAGGCTCCGGTTTCCGGGGACGTCCTTGTTTCTGCTGCCTGTCACACAGATGCGATCTGTCAGGGCGCCTCCCGGTGGCACCGAGTGCCAGCTGCCGGCTGTCACTGGGATTGCCAGGTGTGCGCACCTGCCGCGCTCCTGGGCCCCCTGGGAACAGAACACTGCGCGGGAGGAGCGGCAGCCGCTAAGCACTGCCCACGCGCCCTGCACGGAGACTCGCGCCGAGGCTGTGGGCATCCGCTTCCGCGGCTGTTCCGACCTCCCCAGCACACGTCACTGCGGCTCCACACCACAGAGTGGACTCTGCCCTGGGAATTCCTGCGTGTGTCTTGTTCACAAGCACAAAGAAACACTCAGATGAGAGGGACATCGTGTGGCTTGCCCTTAGGTTGCGGTTGACTTTTCTTCACTAGTTTAGAGATGAGAAGCCAGGCGAGGCCACGCCTGGGCGTTTTAGCTCGTGCAGAAGGAGAGGAGTCCTTTAGGGCGGGTCAGCTGGTTCCCATGATGCTGACTTTTAGGAAAATCGTTCCAGTACACGGATTATTAATGTCTGGTGTGTGGGCACACATCGGAGTTTCTGCTCTCACATGGATATTTTCTGTCCAGTGTCTTTGTGAGTTGGAAACACACACACACACACACACACGGCAGGCCACAGTAGGCTGCAGCCATCTGCACAGAAAACAAGGGTGACAAGTGACAGCGTAAGACTGAGCTCCGCCCCAGGCACTCGGCCCCGCGGGGCTGCCCGGGCCTCCCCCTCTGAATGCCCCTCTCTGCCTAGGCCTGTGCCTCTGTTGTCCCAGTAGTCCGTTCTCGTTTTAACTGAGAAATGCGATGCCGTGTCCCTTCGAGTTGGAGCCCCCATGGCCCCCACTCCTCACTGAGCTCCCCGTGGAGCCACCCGGCCCTCTGCTCTTCCGAGCGCCGCCGCGGCCCCCCGGGTCCTGTGTGGGCGGGCGCGGGTCACAGGCTCTGGGCGTCGGGACCAGCCCGAGGAGTCAGGTGTGGGTGAAGTTGCTGTGTTCACGGAGGGCGTCCCAGAAGGCCGCCCCTCCGTCAGCCCTGGCGGGCCCTGGACCCCGCCGTCAGGACGGGACCTCAGCCCACGTGTCACCTCTCACACGGAGTGTCCGGGGCTGAGAAAGCAGAGCCAGCACCTTCGCGCGGCCTCTCCCGCACCCACGCCGCCGTGAGTGCGGGAGGCAGAGGCCCGTGGGCCATGGCCCCGGAGAAAAGCCCTGCAGACCACAAGCTCCCTGCGGCGAGCCCCCCGCTCTGAAGACGGCCCTTCCTTCGCCGTGACGGCCGCAGGAGGGGCAGGAAAGGGGACCGGAACGCGGGGCTCCGGGGGAAGCTGGCGCGGGCAGACCCCTGCCTCACAGCGGGCACCTCTGGGTCCAGCACAGAGCGTGGACTGCAGGCCACCCCAGGCTGACCGAGGGTTTCCCCGTGTCTCTCCCCGACTGTCGTCCCCTGGCCCGGTACGGCCGTCATGAGCAGCGCTGCTTTGCTTTCACAGAATCAGTTTCCCATGGGGGGGGGGAGGACTGTGCTCGCCACGCTGTCCTGTGACGGCTGCAGGCCAGCAGGGCGCTGGACTCAGTGCTCTCTGGACGCCCGCCGGTCCACTTCCAGGGGTGCCCCCTGGTGCGGGGCGGCCGGCTCAGCTGCAGAGATGGGCGCCGCCCTGGGCGCACAGTCTCTGCCCGCGGCCCCGCACCGGGCCGGCCGCCTTGCCGTGGAAGCCGAGGGAACGATACGTCACTCTGCTTTCGTCGGTGGCGGTTTCCCAGGGACCCCTGTCCCTGGAACTCAGTGAGACTCCGGTAGTGACCACCCTGTCCCCTCGCCAGTGGAGCGCGCAGAGCCTGCGGACACCCGCGGTGGGGAGTCACCTGTGGCACGGTCTCGGGGCCCGAGGACGGGGGGGTTGAATCTCACTCCGCCCACCCATGTCCTCCTCAAAAAAAAAAAAAGCCTGTGTAAGCGTGTCTGAACAACGCTGTCGAAACCCATGTAAATAGTTGAAAATACAGGTTTCTATCACAGGTTCGGGAGAGAGAACCTCCTGAGCCGTCACTAGCCACTGTTGATACCTATTTGTATTCCGATGCCTTTTCAATACATTTGAACAAACATAGAGTTTACGGCACTATTTTTGTACTAGGACAAAGGGGTTCCTGTGTGTACCATGTGTAGCGCTCAGGTCGCTGGGAGCCGTGGGGACCGCGGGTGTCTGGCCGTCCCGCTGCCCACGTGGGCGGCGTGTCAGAGACAGATCACTTCGGAGGACACTCACGGGGCGGCCCTGCGCTGTGCGGACCCTCCCCGGCCCGCCGCTCCCTCGCGTCTCCGTGCTGTGTGGAAATAAAGAGAGTGGACACCAGGTGTGACTGCGGCGTGATTCTTGCGGGCGTGGACTCTGGGGCGGGGGGGCGGGCCCGCGGAGCTCGGCGTGCGCTGCCGGCCCGACACGCGAGCCCGGAGCCGGCTGGCTTGGGAGCCCGTGCGCAGTGCACGTGGCGCTCTCGTTAAGCTTTAATTGCAAGGGGCCCCGAGTCCGTTCTCACGGGTGCAGGTGGGCCCCCCGGAAGCTCGGGAGACAGGCAGCTTTGGCGAGCTTGGGTTTCAACGGGTTGCAGCGCCCTCCGGGGCTGCGCAGCTGGGGGCAGCAGGTGGGCTTCAGCGCAGGGCTCCTCCCTCTTCGTTTGGTTTCCCGCCGGACACGCCCCCTCGTGTGGGCGGAGCCTCCAGGCCCCGCCCAGCCCACGAAGCCAAGGGCCCGCACCACGGCGGCCCCACAGAGCCATGCTGTAGGTTCCCCGACCGCCAGAGGGCAGCAGATGTTCGAAGACGTGACCCTCCAGGTCGGGGGTCAAACAACGCCCAAGGACTGCTTTTCAAAGGGCTTTACTAGCCACCGAAAAATGATCAATGGGGAATTAAGACCGGCTCGCTGCCCGGCGTCCAGCGGCCGTTTCCCCGTGGTTTTCTGCAGGAGCGCTGGCTGACCACCCGAGTGTCTCTGACCGGCTGCCGCTACTCCGCCCACGGGGCCTCGTGCCCCCCGGGGCAGACACGCCCCCTCCCCCCCGCCCCGTCCTTGCACTCCGTGGTGCTGCCTCCTCGTCCCGCGCCCGTGTGCGGCGTGTGCGGGTGTCGGGCGCGGCTTTCGGGTGTTAACCTACGACGTGAATGGAAACCCCCCCCAAGTGCGGAGGTCACGCCCTGACTCCAAGCCACAGTTGGCCTTGGGAGGGATGGCTGTGTGTTTCCAGTTTGCAGACCATCTGTTCGAAATAGAAATCCACAAGACACTTAATGAGTGGGGTCGAACCACGGATCATTTTCACCAGAAGCAGCCCGCCTCACTGAAAGGCGAGTGTGACTCCCCTCTCTGCCGTGTGTGTGTGTGCACGCACACGCGTGTGTGAGGCCGGCAGCAACCCCGCTGGCACACGCCGGACCCCTCTCTCTGCACCACAGGCAGAGGCCGAGGGGCGGGGGAGGGGCGAGCGCCCACGGCCGGCCTGGGCCCCCCCCCCAGCTCCCGCACAGACAGACGGGCCTTGAAGCCCGGTTTCACTTCCCGGCGGCGTCCTCTGGGCCCGTGGGAGTGTTCGTAGCCTTCAGATGACCCCAGTCCAGCACATTCTTACAAGAAACAAGCTTCCCCTTTCCCAGCCAGCTCTGTGCACGGCAGGAACTCCCTGGCCCGGCTCACCGCCCCACGGAGGAGGACAGGCCCAAGACGCGGCCAACCCCGGCCCGGCCGGCCCAGCTCTGCCCTCTCCAGCAAGGACGGCAGAGGCCGTGGCCAAGGCTGCTTCCGAGCCCTGGGGGAGTAAGGAGCACGCTTCTTGGGCCGTGAGGGCAGGCCTGGGAGCGAGTGTTACTCCTCTGTCTCTCGAAGCCGCCGCTGCTCTTGGGAGCCCCTGGCTCCCCCGCACGCGTCCTGGAGAGCGTGGCTGGCCCTCCTGCTCTAAGAGCTCCCCGAGCCCACGGGCTGCCCCGCCCCCCCCCCAGCCTCCCGGCCTGTGTTCCTGCACTTCGAAGGCACTCGGCGAACACTGAGTGGAAGAAGACACTTCCATCCTTTCCCGCTGGACACAAAATGCAGTTTCCTATACAGAAGGGAGGAGGGAACCGCAGTGAAGGGCAGTGGAAAAACCAATCCGGCCTATTTAGAGACTCGGTTGGACGAGAGCCAGAATTTCAGGTGAAATAACCACCTGAACTAAACAAGTTTTCAGAAAAAAATACTCGTCCCCTGCCACGAGAATTGCGCCGGCCACCTGGCCTCTGCTAACGACTGGTGGGCATCGGTGGGGCTCTCGGGGCGGGGGTTGGACCGCGTTGGTGGGGGCCAGGGACCGTTCCCAGCATCTAGAGGCCAAGGATCTGGTGGCGAAAACAAGATTTACATTTTAAATAAACAAGCAAACAAACGCTGACATTCATTCACAAAACAGCGGGTTCCCTGCCAGGGCCAGGCCCGGCGAACGCCGCCGCGGGCAGGTCTCAGGAGCTTCTCGGCCCCCGCCAGGGCAAGGACAGGAGTGGACGGCACTTAACTCAGACTTGCGGGTCGCAGGCGGCTCCCCGAAGGGCGTGGCGCCTGGTTGAACCCGGCGATCGACCGGGAGACGGCGCGCCAGGCGGGGAAACAGCGGGGAAAGCCCGGGCCGCGGACAGCGCCGCCCAGGGAAAAGCCCGGTTCGGTTCTCGCCGCAGCCCGACGTCCAGGCGGGGCGGAGGGACGCGGGCTCAGGGTCGGGAGCGCGGATCTGAGGCGGCGCTCTCTCCTCCGCACGCCCCACGGGGACAGAGCCGCGGGGAGCCCGGCGGCGACGCCTCCGCCACCAGAGTGACACTTCTGTTGGGAGACCCCAGCAGGTTGGACCCGCGGACTCACGGGAGACCCGGTTCTCGTCCAGTTCGGTGGGCTTCCCATCTCCACAAGAGCATGCGCAGTCCCGCTGCGCCCGGCGAGCCCCCAGGGGCCGGGCAACCCCAGGGCTCGGAAGCCTCAGCTGTGGCGGTGAGGCCGGCCGCCCCAGGAGGCTTAGCCGTTTGTCCCGCTGACCGTCCCCTTCTCCCCAGAGAGAGAGAGAGGACCTCCAGCCGCCACCCGGAGGGGCTGTGCCCGGCCAGGAGGGGCCCAGGGTGGTCTGGGCCGCGCAGGAGGCAGGTGCCAGCGGGCACTGTGGCTCCGTCCTGCGGGGTCCACCACCCACCCCGGCACCCGCCCGCCCACCCCTACAGGGACAGACCCCTGCGCTCCCGGCCCCCGGGGGGCTGCAGACTGGTGACCCTTCACCCACAGCTGCGACCCTCCCAGCACCGCCCTGACCTGGAGGGCCCCCCCACCCCGAATCTGGCTCAGTTGGGGGGCGGGGCAACACCCAACCTAAGTGAGGGGCAGAGCTGAAGGCTAGTCCAGGCCCCGACCTCCAAACTCTGCAAAGCACAGGGCAGGTGTGCCCCCGCCCCTTCCCCCCCCCCACCCCCCACCCCCCCCCCACCCCCCCCCCCCCCCCCCGCAGTCCGGGCCGGGCCCTGCCGCCCTGGCCCACCCCCAGGTGTCTCCCAGGGCGCACCCTCCTACAGCCCCGTTCCACGGGTTGAACGAGGCATCGCTGAGAGGGGATTTATGTGGTTACTCTTCCTGCCGTAAGTGTGAAATGGACTTGCATGTCAATGTGCATGCTAATAAGAGTGCTAATAAAGGTACTAATAAAAGTGTGCATGTTTCTTGAACTTCTGTCTTATCCTTTGCACAAAGTTTGCCACAAACGTGGACTTCACGACATGCACTCATTTTCACCCGCAGCCCCGGGGCCGCAGACCCCTGCGCCCCCGGGGGGGCGTGCTCAGGCCCAACGCCCCCGCCGGTGCGGGGGCTGCGCTTCCGCTCACCGCGCCGTCACCAGGGCAGCCGCGCAGCGGCCCCGCCGGCGGTCTCTGGAGCGTTTTAGGAGAGCGGCGTGGTGTCGCACGCAATTCCACTTCTGTGTCTGCGTCTGTGTCTGCGTCTGCGTCGCGCGGGTCACTCTGGCAGAGCAGTGTCTGGGGTCTCCGGGGCCCTGTGCCACGGGCTAAGACGACCCTTTGGATGAGAACTCGTTCAAACCCCGGTCACGCCGCCCCACGCCAGCCGGGTCCCAGGGACCGCCCCTGCCTGTGGCCAGCACGCTGCGGCTGAGTGTACGGGGCCCGACGCTGTGCGGGCTGGGCACAGGGAGCAGGGTCACTGGGGTGACCAGAGCCGACCGCTGACCGCTGACCATGGGGCACGCCACAGAACCGCACGCTGCGTGGACTCAGGAGGGGGCACGCCCGTGCGCACCTGGTGCCACAAATCGGCCAAAGGTCCCTTCCCTGGTTTCAGAGAGGCATCTTTGACCGTTGGCACCAGTAATAATTCTGTATGGTGTAAACTACATAGATAACAAAAAGTTATTGAGTGGATTGCCCCTTGAAAACACTAGCTAAGGAAAAAATGTGAAAATAAGTTTCACAAAACGTTCAGGGCCTGCCAGGATGTGCCTGTGTCCTCCACTGGAGTCTGATTCGCTCCTCCCCTGACCGCTGCCCCCCCAGGCCCCGCCCCCCCGTCCGGGGACACGCCCCTCTCAGAGGGGCTGACAGCTGCCTGGTGGGAAAGCCCTTCCTTTTTCCCTGAAGGAGACAGGCGTGGTCGCCTCCCTGCGGGGACGGCCAACCCGGCAGAGATGGGGGGGTGGGGGGAGCCGACCCCAGGGCGAGGCCTGCGGAGTGGAGGTGGAGTGGGGGGGGCCTGCAGAGGAGGCTGACGTGACCCGCTTTCTGGGGCGTCTCTAACAGGAGAACAAGTGCTGTGACGCCCTCCTACGACGGACCCCCATGCGGGGCCGATGAGGGGCGGCGGGCGGCCTGGGCGGCCGTCCATTCCCTCTGCACCCGGCGCGTTCCCA